ACTGATGGCAAAGTTGATGGAGAAGCACTTCCCTGTGGCAGGGCTGTGGGATTTCTAGGCAACTGAAGTAGGGGGTGGGAGTGGGGTTAGCTGGGATACTCGGCTTGTGCACTGAGACAGGTGCTTCAGTACTGACCCAGTAGTGAAACGCAAGGAAGAACACAGTAACACAGGTATAGCACTCTTCCAGGAGGAGGAAAACTACACAGAGGATGGCGAAAACTACACTTCCCTTAGCTCTAAAATTCTTGTTCCTTATGCAGAGAGGAAAATGGCCAAAAACGAGAGCTAAGTGCACATGTCTAAAGTGACAGAGACAGTTACTCTTAACTTAATGCACTTAATTCATCTGAACTAAACACAATACTTCTATAACGAAAACTATGGGCCTTGAAAAATCCGCCAAGCAAGAAACATGCCATATACCCATAAATGTGCATTCCATCACTGCTTAAGGGTTCTGACTAGGATAAATGGTAATAACCCAGACAGGTCCCCAAAACGGAACTCTCACCTAAGCACATCTAACACTCTTATGATTGCTCAAAAACAAGATCCCTGAACAAATTAAAGGCAAAATAGAATACATCTCTTAGTCTTTTCATGAATCTTTTAATGTGGCCGGCCACTTGCTAAGGCATGACATCAGTAAGTCAATCATTAAAAATAACCACATAGCCGGGCTCGGTGGCTCAGCCTGTAATCCCGCGCCTTTGGGAGGCTGAGGTGAGTGGATTGCCTGAGCCCGCGGGTTCGAGACCCGCTTGGGCAGCGAGACCTCATCTCTACAATAAATCACAAAATCAGCCAGGCGTGGTAGCGCATGCCTGTAATTCCAGCTACTTGGAAGGCTGAGGTGGAAGGATCGCCGGAGCCCAGCAGGTGAGGTTGCAGTGGCCAGGAGCGGCCACTGCACTCCCAATGTGGGCGACAGAGTGAGACTCCAACTCAAAAAAAAAAAAAAGAAATATCAACAGAGTATATTCAGCTACTTAGATTTCCTGCAGGTAACACCATATTCTTCCAGCCTATAAGGAAGCTACTTAATGATGCATAAAACTAATTATTATAAAATAAGACTGGATCTGTATGGTAGCTGTTCACAATGTGGAAAATCACACTTTTTCATGGCCTATTTTCTTTTAAAATGTGTGCCCTTTTCCCATCCTTAATGCGTTTTGTATATGTAAAATAAATACACTTCACAGCAGGACCCTGGCTTGGAGGCCTTAAAACCCAATAAAAGAGTCCTGTAGTTTAATGGTCCTTAAATGCTCAACATCTTTTTCACTTAATGTAAAATCCATCTGATCTAATAGCCATGACTGAATTATAGATATATAATTTTTTTCTATTAAATGTTAATCTTCTGACTTGGCAGAGCAATAGACGCTTTAAATTATTAAGAAGGCAATAACCTCTCTAAACTCTTTCTAGAATTCAGAATATTCCCAAGACTGCTATCTTTAAAAAAATTGCAAACCTGCTTAAAATATAAAAATCAGGCCTATTAAGTACAACAATTTAGTGCCAAATATCAATTACAAGGGGCATTGTTTTTACTGCTATCTCCTCCATTATTTTACTGAATGGTATACACATACATACATATAGATGAGATTGGATTATATATGATTTATGTGGCTTGAAACAGGACTGTATAAACTGGGGAGGCAACCCTCCCAAGTCTTGGTTCTTTGTCATTTACATATGACATTTTTGTAACCTTCCCTTTTTGGTTGAATTCATTCATCATCGATGTTTGCTCATGCAGGCATAAATAATGAAAATGCCTCTAATATATAAAATGATGTCACATGCCCAATTATGCTGAACACAAGCCCTCTCACTGCCCGGGGAGTCTTGTTGGAATGCCATCTCTGTTGTGGCTTGATCTGTTTTTTTTTTTTTAAATCTGTATATTCATTACTCACGTGAGCCAAAGGTCAACATATTCAGTGAGATTCAGAAGCAATGCTAAGAAGCAGGTTAATAATTACCTGGAGAGGTTGGTCTCAACAATCCTGTTTCAAATAACTGAGGCCAAAAATATGGGACAGAACTGAATTTCCAGCAACAACGTCTCATATTGTTTTACCTGGGGATATCACTGAATGGAAAGAAATCTGAAATGCCTATACTATTTTCCATTTTGTGCACAACCTGTTTTATGGTGCAAACTCTGCCTTTACTCATCTGTTGCTTTTTTGCTTTCCTCTTTCTGAAACTATTCATGAAATGTAGGGGCCCACAGTCAGATCTGGGTTCTTTCTTTCCCTCTGCTAAGCACGAGCAGACATGTTTTCCATGTTCATCACAGGCAATTCTCTTTTGTTCTGTGTTCTGGTGCCAGAGAAACTGCCTGCCATCATTTTGTTGCACAGAACTCGCAAGAAGAGACAGATCACCACAAGGTTGCTGAATCCAGTGATGAGAGAAGTAGACAGGCTGCAAGAAGCAGTGTTCTTCTACCAGGGTGGAACAACACATGTCAAGGGAAGCTCCTAAGTATGGCTGTCCACCTCCTGGCGTTCTTGTAGGCAGGCACTGAGGCGGCGAGTCACCATGAACACCAAAGACTAATGCAAACCTCCTCCCTTTTCTACTCTGAAGTAAGGGAGCCGGAGAACATGAATCGTTCTTCACATTCTGAGGGAAGCATGTGGGTGAAAACAGTCCTGGGTCCTTGTCAGAGGAAAGATGTTAACACAGGGTGTGGGGGCATGCTCACGTTCTAAAAATGCAGGATTTCTAAAGCAGCAACGAGAGTCAACGCATTCCCAACAGCAGAACACCATAAACTGCACAAAATGTGGTGAGGGTCAAGAGAAATGGGTTAAATAAAAAGTCAGCCATAGGAAAGATTAAGTTAAATTCATCTTGGATTTCAGAACACTGCGGGTACAGCTGAATGAGTACAGGCACTATAATATTAAAATTTAAGATGCCCATTGTATAAATATTTGATTTTATTTTAATAGCCAATTCTTTATGCCACTGACCCTCTGTCAAAAGGAATGAGCTTTTCTAATGAAGTTGGAGTGATGAGAAGAAAATGACATGAGAGAAGAGTAATAAAGCTTGCAACAAAGAAAGGTGCTGCAGTAGGAATTCAGTGATTTGTCCCAGAGAATCACACATGACGAAGAGCACCCATTACGCCTCAGACAACATGGCTTTTCCCTGCTCTTGGCCAGACGTCTAGGTCTCATCCTTCTGCATGCAGAATGGCAGAGACACCAGCGTTGTCCACCGTCTATGTTCCACTTATTTACTAACTAAAAAGCCTGAGTCTTCAGTGTTGCAAGCTCAGTTTCTGTCTTTGATATCAACAAGTGAGAGAGATTGTGGGGTGAGCTGCTATTTTCTTCTAGATGCTGAAAGAGGGGATCATTCTCTGTCCTCTGGACTCATAGCATCCTACTCCAAATTCCCCAAAGCTGGTAATTATTAACTTGAGAATCTTTTACACTATTCTAGAGAAAACTTTATTGATGTTTTGTTCGTGAAACAAGGTAAAATACACATAAGGCTCCCTTCCCACTCATAATAAGGAAAAGAAAACATAGACTATGAGTGGTTCAGCCTAGAACTGTGCTCTGTGGCAGAGCTTTTATTTTTCATTTGTATTTATATTTTATTTTCTATTGAAATAGGTAACCTAAAACTTGTGACACATTTCATGTTGAAGAACATCATTCAGTATAATAAAGAAACCAGATATTTCTTGTGTAAACTGTATAGATTTACTTCAAGAATTAAAAATAAATTAAATTCTGACTTTTCATTGTTGTTTCCACACTGAAAAAATACAATGGTGTATTCTTTGGTATGAGAAGTTATTTTGGTGGCCCTTCTAACCTCCTATACAGAAATGGGATAAAAATCTGGCTCAGGATGTTCAAAGATTATTGCTAAGGCCCATTTTGCAATGTAAGAAAACTCAACTGCAATGATTCATTTGCTCAGTTATTCATTAGTGGTCAAATCAGTAATTTTCAAACTGAATGGTAACTCAATGTTAACAGAGATAACAAGACATATACACTTTCCTTAATGAGCTGGCATTAATAAAAATGGTTGGTTAAGTCACAGTATTTACTATAAACCTGTCTAATTTCATTAATCTCTTGCTATCTATATTCTTATAGTTTACTGTGTTATTGCACCTTTGTCTAAAACCTTTAAAAAATGTTATATAAAATCAATTTTCTAATGCAAATTTTACAGAAAAATGGCATTTCACATTATTAATCTCATTAGTACAACCTTCCTATAAATAAGTATGAAGCATTTGGAGGATGCATACATAATGAGTGTTTGGTTACTACAGTAGCAAATGTCAAATAATTGCTTAAAAAAAGTCAAAAGTTTTTGACACTTTGAACAATCTAGTACATCGTTGATCATTGTTCTCTAAATAATGTGGCAAGAAAAGTCACAAGTAAAAATGAAGATATCACTCTAGAGATTATGAGGCCATTTTATTATAATTTCCTGATATGTCCACTCCTGCCTGTTCCTCATCGCAATGTAAGTTGGCACTGCAAACTATGTATGAAAATAAATTTATTTTAAAAGACATAAAAGTTATTCATGTAAGAAGCAAAAAATCTGTACTTCCAAAAAAGCCAGAGATACTCCACTAAGTTACCTCAATAAAGATGCAACTTGGCCAGCCAAGTCACAGCGCCTTCTTTGCAACTACATTGGGTCTCAAGGCTCTGAGGAGCTAAAAGTCTTCTGATTCAAAGTGGCCACCAACCAAATCCATCTTTGAAAGAGATCTTTAAACAATTATTTCAACCAAACCCCTCTTCATACGGACCCACTCAGATGGCTCATGTTTTCTTAGGGGTTCAAAGTTTTAAAAATATCTAGCCAACAAAGGCAAAGTGCTAGGTTGTTTGCCTAATGGCAAAATTAACACATTCAGAATATAAGAATTGAACTGATATTGAAAAAGTCAGTAACATACTCATCTAATTAAAAAAAAAATCTACTGCTGAAACAAAATGGATTTTATTCTCATTATACTAGCACAATGAGGCCCAGAAGGACCACAGAGATGCACCCGGAATGCTCAGCACCAGCAGGAGACAGCAGACGCTGCAGGTCAGGGTTGCCACTAGCACACGAGGCCCTGTCGCATCTGTATGATCTGGAGCAAGGCCTCCTGAACGTCAGCATCCATGTGACCCTGGAGGGAGAGAAGAGAGGAGGAGTATCTTACGGCAGCTTCTTTGTTTACCCAAAACTGTAAAGGCAAAGCCTTTATAATAGAGCATAACCAGTTGTGCTTCACTGGATGCTAAGTCCTCACCATGGTGGTGGTACTTAAAGGAACTACTGGAAAAGGGAGGAGAACGCTCTCTCACAAAAATAAAGTCAGTAAATAAGTATACCAGCTGCCCTTAACATCTATGACCAGAAGACAAATGGGCACACTTCCCTCCTTCTCTTCTGTGTTAATGGCCTTGGATGACAGGGGTGGCGCATGTCATAAACAAACAAAGCAAACAACAAGAAACGTTCCGCTGTTGCTGCTGCTGAGGTTCTGATTTTTAATTAGAAAAGTAATTGATGTTAAAATCCCCATATTTAGATTTTTACATAAACAAGGTCATATATTTTATAATTTGCTTTTTTATGTAGTGCACAGAAATATTCCCCTGGAGCTACCCAATTATTTTAAATTACTGTATAACATCTCACTGTATGGATGTATTACATTTCTTTACCCATTGCCCTAACAATGGACAGTCTAGGTGTTTCCAGTCTTTATGAACAGATTTCCAGAGAAGAAACTCCTGGGTCAATGAGCAGGCTCAGTTTTTAATTTTGTGAAGAACTATAGAATTCCCCTCTGTAGAGAGTCTACAATGTGCACTGCTACCAACAGGGTATAGATGCCCATTGCCCACATACTGGCGGACATCACAGACTAGCAACTTGGTTAATATTGCCAGTCACATGGGAGGAAGACAGCACCTCTTTGCTCAACCTCCTTGAGGCTGAACATCTTTTTTACATGAATTAAAAATAAATAAATACTTTAAACTTAAAATGGTGGCAAGAGTTGCTTAATTAAGTCAATATGGTAGACTTACAACACTATATATATATATATATATATATATATTTTTTTTTTTTTTTCCTGGAGCACTTGAATAGGTTTTAGCACAACACTTCCTATTAATATAAAAAGTTTTGCTTCCAAAATCTGTTTCTATAACAGCAGGATGTATAAATCTCAAACATCAGCCATAGTTGACTAAATAGAATTTCTTAGTTAACTTCATGATGCCAAAAGGCAAGACTATTTCCTTTGCCAATTGATTTTGTTATGTTTCATTAGGACTCAGTAGAAAACAACTTCTAATTCAGAAATGCATATTATACAAGGTAGAAAGGTTTGTTCGTCAACTGTGTCTTTTGGTAAGAGCAAGCCCTTCCTCCCTCAGCCAATACCAGTGAGTCCCTCACCCTCTCCAACACAGATTTTCTATGCATCCCTACTATTTCCCTCCTACGCTTCCTCTTCAGTGTCCCTCAATAGTCTCTAAAAAAAATCACAACAAACTCAAGAGAGGAGCTGCAGACATTGTCTTCTCTCACTCCATTCATTCTTTTCCCTGGCTTCCTGTCCATCTGCTATGGAAAAGACAGGCCTGTTGATTTTAAGAATTTGATGTCATAAAGTATCTTTCTTTTTATAATTTTATCTAGTTCTCTTTTTGAAACTGGCATTTCTTGGAAGCTTTCTCTCAACACCCGTCTTGCCTTCCTTCCTTCAGGTTTTGTTTTTACTGTGTGGTTTGACACACCTCAAATCCAAATAATTCCCATGATCTCTCTTTTAATATGTCTTCTTCCTGAAGAAGAAGCTACTCTGCGAATTTTGGAGTAGCTGCTCATAGGGTTTCCACAGGGCATTAGGCATAGAGTCCTTCGTATGTTAAACATAACTTAGAAAGGTTTTTTTAAACAATACCTTTCTAATATACCTCTAAATAAGAGAATTCATAATCCTAAACTTCACTGAGTTTAAGGCTAAATAAATAATCAATCATCTCTTAACAAATCAATTTTTCTTTAATTATTACAATTCTATGCACCAAACATCCCAGTTGTCGTTTTCTTAGTTTTCTACTATTCTCTACAATTTAGATACTCCTAAGTTATCAAGAAACAAGAAGTCCTTTCCACTCTCCTTTCCTCGCTGACAGCCTTGTGTGGAGGTCAAGGCATGATCTCTAGCGAGCACCACCACTAATGTGTGCTGTCATCACGTGTTACCAAACTGTCTAAAGTTTGAGTGACAAGCAGATTGAGACAGCACCACATTTGAGACACCGTGTTGCCGTATAGCCTCGCAAATTCTTCTGGGAGATACACAAACCATGATTACAAGAGACATCTTAAATAAGCATATTTTAAAATAAGCATATGGGGTGTAGCTACTTTAAACATCAATTACTTTCACATACATTTATCTGAAAATAAAAAAATATGTTCGCTGAAACAATATTCCTTTCAAAGGAGAAACACTTCTTTACCTGGGCAGCACTAAGAAGGTGTGTCCGGTAGATGGCGATCACCTCCTGGTGCTGTCTGTCAGCATCCTAGAAGGGTGGAGAGGTGGACAGATCAGAGTATCAGGACTCATGTTTCCAAACAACAAGGCTTGTCACAATGCTGGCCTTAGACCTGATGCTACAAAACATTAGCATTATTATTAAAGTGTCTCTGCTACTTCTTGAAGCAAACTACCTTGGACCTATTGGAAGCAGAAAAAAATCCATAACAAGAGTATCAACTTCTCAAATGAATGTGTAGGAACATAAATAGTGAAAGTGACGCCACACCTAAGCTCTGTGGAATCACTGCCTGGTTCACATCTACTGCCACAGACTCACCACATGCTTTGATGACTGCACAAGCCTCCTTTTCTGGCTCCCTCCCTCCACAATGAATTCCCTCTCAGGCTCTCCACACTAAGGTCACTCTCTCCATATCACTTTTGGCTCAAAAACCTTGAGCAACAATTCTTCATGTACAAGAGAGACTCTAAACTTATCAGCTTGGTTCTCAATGACTTCCACAATGTGGCTTCAAACATTTGTTCCCAAATACTGTGGTCCCCTCTTATGGGTGGTTTCACTATCAGCAGTTTCACTTTTTCTGTTTCAGTTACCCCTGGTACAGAACTACACCATATTTGAAGATAGGCAGAGAGACTACCTTTACATAACTTTTACTACAGTACATTGTCATAAATCTTCCAGTCGATTATTAGCTATTGCTACTAATCTCTGACTGTGCCTAATTTATAAATTAAACTTTACCATAGGTATTTTTATACAAGGAAAAAATATTGGATCTAGTGTTCATTACTATCTATAGTTTCAGGCATTGTGGGGGGGGGTCTTGGCCTATCTCCCCAGCGGATAAGGGGGGACTGGGTGTGGGCAGGCCTTGTATTGCCCCTGGCCATGCCACTCATACACTACCTCCATGCCTTGTCTTAAACTCTTTTCTTTGGATAGAAGAGCCTTTGTTTTCCTTTCACCTACCAAGACACCATCTATTTTACAAGTTCAGTCTAGTACTCTTATCTTTGATACTAGCTCCCACCATACCAGACATCTTTCCTTCCTGGGAACCCGTATCACTCAGAATCTTGTACAGCGTTCTCAACTCTTGGTTTGACATCTCTCGTCTTGTTATTTTACTGTTTACGGATCTGTATTTTGCCTCTCTAACTACCCAGAACTCCTTGGAGACAGCAACGGTCTATTCTCTTCATCCCTGATAGTGTCATGAACAATAAATAAAAAACAAATATTTCCAGTGGCTAAAAGGATACTATATACCTTTGATAAGATCCTAATCAGCAATTTGCCATAATTAATCTGCAGGCCAACAGAGTTAAATAAACACTTAAAAAATAATTTTTTTCTATTCAAAAATAACTCACAACCAACTCCTACAAGATAGGAAAGCATAAGCAACAATTTACATTTGATTGGGCCATGTTTTACCTAGTATTTCAATGCATATTAGTTTATTCAATTAAAAATGTCAGCTGAGCTGGGGGTGGTGATGCACACCTGTAATCCCAGCTACTTGAGAGGCTGAGGCAGAAGGATGTCTTAAGGTCAGGAAATCGAGACCAGCCTGGGTAACATAGAAAGACCTTATCACAAATTTTTTAAAAAGTAAACAAACAAGTAATCCGTTCTTATTATCCTATTATATGGATGAGGAAGCCAAGGGCTACAGGGAATGTTCCATGTCATATGCCTATAAGTGGCAGAGCTCAGACTGCAGCTCCCAACTTTAGCTTCTAAGTCCACATGCTTTCTCTGAACATATAAGGTTATAAGGTTAAAATCACAGCAATACCTATCCTAATCATAAAGATAAAAGCAGATTAAACATCTGCTTTAGCAGAGCGAACCAGCATCTTGGAGAGGGGTAGAGAGGGCACTGCCATGAGGAAGGCACTGGGCTTGTCAGCCAGTTCCAGGCCTGCATCCCAGCTGTGCGATCCCAGGAATCAAGCATTTTAATCTTTGTTTCCTTAAGAATCGAATGGAAGGAATACAATGTGCTCCACAGGATGGTGATGAAGATAAAGTTTAGAGGTAAAACATGTATGATAAAACATTAATGTGTCTAGTGTACAGTAGGCACCAAATAGCCAATATCATTAAACCACCAGGATACGTAACTTTTGACAAAAATGTTTGCGTTCTTGGACCCAAACATAGCTACAAATCAGTGTAACTTCCAAATCAGCTTTGCAAACTAACTGATGTGAACCGGCACGGATTACCGCGAAGCCCTGTGTAGGGTCACTCACAGCCAGCTGCTGCTGCAGGGACTTGACTTGGTGCTGCAGAGTGTCCACCAGCTGGCTCTGCCTCTTGGTGGGGATCCCGCCTGTGTAGGTGAGCTGGGAAAGGCCATTGAGTGCCTGTTTCAATCTCTCAACATCATTCAACAGTTCCGTTATCTTTTTTTTTTAAAAAAGTGCAGGAGAAATATATTATTTACTTATTCTTTTGTAATGAACATCTTCACACAGAAATCATTCCTTTTTTGAGACATAAACTTTATATACCAAAAAACGGAGGTATGAATATTGCCAAGATTGTTATCAACAGTATAGACACTATCTCATTTAATTCCTCTCAGCAAATTCTTTAAAAGTAATACCAAATTAAGAATAAATATGTGTATATTCTAAGACTTGAGTATGAACTTGGTCCTACTTTTAGAAAATATATCTGTATCTATGAAAGGTATACATACTATCTCACAGATAACATTTGAAACACAGGAAGGGGGGGTTCCCTCCAACAAAGTATGGAAAGTAAAAGGGCAGGGCTCATTAAATCTAGAACTGACATTAAGTGCCTTGTTCCTTTCAAGTGTAATATTATTTAGGACTACTTTATTGTAGAGAGGAAAAAAGTAGGGAGGCTGGAAAGAGCACAGGCTTTAAAGTCAGACAGAGCTGACTTGTGTGAGCTTGTCTACTTTCCTTTACTTTTTCGAGTCATAGTTTCCATATTGATGGAAGGCAGAAAATCTTTCAGAGTTAAGAAAATCAAATGCAATTATAAACAGATACCTGGCACATAGTATGTGTTCAGTAAATGGCAACAAGAACAAGTAGCTATTAACAACTAGCTCTTACACAATTACTATATTCATAACCACCCTCCAAACAAGCTTAGAGCATCTAAATTCTGGATTATAAAAGAAGATGTGTCAGAAGTTCGCCTTGAATTCTTCACTGAGGGGGGCTGGGTCTGCGTCAGCTTTCACTCATCACACATCTCCCCAGCATGTGGCATGTAGAAGGCATTTGATAATAACTTATTGAATGGATACAGTGGCAGTCAGTCTTTAGATCTCATATCCATAGTACAAACTTTATACAACTACCAGTTTCAAAAATAGTGTTGAGTACCTATTCTGTGAACTGGAGCATGAGAATGAAAGCTAAGGTCGGCAGTCAACCATAAAACTCTCACGTGGTCATACAGATGTCTTAAATGGATGGCAAAGCCGAAACAGAACATGCATCTTGCAAGAGGAACTGTTGGCTGTAGGCCACATTGGATAGGAAGCAAGGAGGATAAGGTATTAAAGAATGTCTAGGATTCAACTGGGTAGAAAGGGGGGTAAGGGGACTAGTCTGTAAAAAGATATGGGAGACAGACTACACAACAGAACTGGAGGGCTCAATTTACTGGAACGTGAGTGCCAAGGCCAAGTCTGGAATGTTCCCCCATGTCCTTGGTTTCTTGTAGCCCAGTAACATAGCTTCTTTTTCCCCTCCTTTCCTCCCTGTCCTCCAGATGCCACAAACCCAATGGATTTTACCTATTCATCTACAAGACAAGTGAGCCTTGAGAACCCCCAATTTCCCTCAATTCTTGGCTGCACCAGCCAACAGAAGAGTAGGAAAAAATGCTCTGGGATTTTTGTGTGACTTCACTGTTTCTCAGTTTGGATTTTTTTTTTTTTTTTTTGCACACCAGTAGTCACACTGGAAAGGGGGCATTCATGGTCACTTGGTGACTGCTTTTATAGACCTGTCTGTGGGACACGGCAGTGGAGCCCTGCTCTCCTTCTCAGTCAGGTCTGCACAGGGGTCTCCAATGCATCCATGCGGACGGCCTTGTGCCTACCTTGTTATCTTTAGCCTCGATTTGCTCAGCAGACTCTTGGATTCTCCTCTGCAGTTCTGTGATTGTGGTTAAGGACTTATCGCACCGCTCCTTCTGGTCCTTGATTTCTTGCTCAATGCTGAAATGTCGCAATTCCTTCTCACCTTTTGCAGACAGCTCCTTCTTTTTGGCATGCACAGCTTCCTCACACACTTCCTCATACTTTCTATTCAGATTGGCTAACTTTTCATTTAAGCTGGAAATCTGTGTCTCCAAGTCACTTTTTGTTGCTTTGTATTTAGACAAGTCTACTACCTCTCTCGTCTCTAATTTTTTTAACGCTTGTTTAGTATTCTGCACCTCGGACTGAAGTTTGGAGACCTCCTCAGCTTTGTTCTGGCTTTCCTCTTCCTTTTCCCTCAGGCTAGCTCTGATGATTCCGACTTCTTTCTCCAATGCTTCCTTAATCTGTAAGTGTTCTGCCAGGGGCATGGAAGAGTTTTTTTGGTTCTCCAGTAACTGGTGCAGCTTGGTCACTGCCTGCTGCTCCTTTTCATAACACCTGTGCGTGTTCTTCAGTTCTTCTTTCAGATTCTCGACTGTGCTATTAAGAGCCTTTTTCAGAGCCTCAACTTGCTCCAATGGAACATGCTGCTTTTGCAGAAGATTCTGCACGGCAAGTATCTCAGAAGCCTGTCTGGCATTTTCCTCTGCGAACCTCTCTTTCATGTTCTTCATCTCTGTGTACTTCTGTGACAAGTCTTTCAGCTGTCTGTCCAGGTCTTCTGTTTGTCTGTTCAGCGCTCTTTCTATCCCATGAGATTTTTCAACGACAGCATCCTTATCCTTTAGATCTCTCTGAAGGATCGCAAGCTCCTTCTTCAACTTGTCATTCTCTTCCTTGTTTCTCTTGGCCTCCTCTTCCCTGGCACTATTCTTCTGTGTCTGCTCTGATAACTGTTCTTTCAGCTCTTTCTCCGTTGCTTTAAATTTCCTCTCACACTCTTCAAAGTTGATGATGGGAGTGTATTTTAGCTTAATGCATTCCTGTATTGTGTCGAGCTCCTTCTTCTGGGCTTTGATTTCGGCGTGCAGGGTCACAATCTCTTCTTGGGCTCTCTTGTAGTTGGCCAGGATCTCAGCATTACTGTCCTGAACCTTCTTCATGTTCTGGTTTATGGTACTCACCTCTGCCTCATGCTCCTCTAGGCTTATGTATTTGGCTTTTATTTGGTTCTGAGTGTTTTCCAGGTTTCTTCTCAAGATTTCATTTTCATCTTTTTGTTTTACAAATTCTTGATGTATCTCCTCCCATTTTTTCCTCACATCTGACAGTTCTCTGTTAGTCTGATCTAATGTGCTGCTCAGTGCAGTTTTCATCTCTTCGTGGGTTTTAACCGGCACGTATTGATTATGCACAGTCTTCTTCAAGTTAGTGTTTTCAGATGTAAGTGCATATATTTTCTCTTGGTCTGTACCACATTTTTTCTTGAGTTCGGACAGCTGTTTTTTAAGTTCAGTAATATCAGATTTCAGAGCTGTCACCTCTTTTTCGTGTTTCTCGGGGGGTACAAACACAGTTTCGAGGCGGCTGACACTCTTCCTTAAGCTGTCATTTTCTAGCAGCAATTTCTCCATTTCCAACTTTTTTTCTGTATATTTTTGTGTTAGATCTAAAAGCTTGTTATTCAAGTTATCAATCGCCGCATCATGTGACTTTTTCATGTCTTCGCTTACTTTTAAAGGAACATAATGGCTTTTCATTTCAATAGTGAGGTTGTGCGCCTGGTCGCTGAGACGCTGATTATCCAGATGAACCTTCTCGATTTCCTTTTGCAGAGTCTGGTTTTTCAGCGTTAACTCCGTGACCTTCTTTCCCAGCTCTCCTGCCTTTTGCTCCAACCTGCCCTTTAGCTGTTCGTGCTCCTCAGGCTTGACATGCTGTGCCAGCCTGGCCTTCAGGGTCTCCAGTTCTCGCCTTACCTGCCTGACTTCACTGAGGGACTTCTCGTAGTCCCTCTCCGTGTCTGCTAGTTTTTTTGCTTTCTCATTCGCCTCCCTGGACAGCAGGCTCCTCATGTTCTCGAACTGCTCTGCCGGGATGGAGAGGGCCAGCCTCGCCAGCAGCTCCTTCGCCTGGCCCTCCAGCTCCGCGGCCCTCCTTGCTCTCTTCTCGCGCTCTGTCTCGCACATGCTCAGCTCCCTCTGCAGCTGCTGCTTCTCTTCCGCCAGCTTGCCCTCCTCTCTCTTCAGCTCTTCCACAACCACCTCGCTCTGCCTGACCTGATTTCTTAACTTGCCCACCTCTGTGGCCGCGCCTTCGTACTTGGCCCTGGCATCTCTCAGCTGCTCCTTCAGCTCCTCGGCCAGCCTGTGGCTCCCGGCGGCCGCCTCACTGGTCAGGTGTTCCTTCAGAGCCAGGAAGTGGGCCTGCATCTGCTTCACCTTCCCTTCTGACTCGTACATCCTCTTCTGCACATCTTTTAGCGCATCCTCCAGCTGTCTTATTTGCTCGTCTGAATCCTCCTTGACCCTCTCACACTCCAGCGCCAAGGCTTTGCACTCAGCTACCTTATGCGCCAGCTCGTTCTGGAGCTTGAGTCGGTCTTGCTTGGCGGACTCACAGAAAGTCCGCATGGCTTCGAGCTCTTTCTTGAGCACTTCATTTTCAGAGTATGACGTCTGACTGGGCACTGACAGCTCCAGTGGTCGCAACATCGACCTGCTTTGCATATGGGCCGGCATGCCCGAGGAAGAACACTAAAAAGGAAAAGAAAGACATCAATCACAGAAGCCTAGAGGCATTTACAACACTTATTTGCCAAATTTACAGGAAGTTTCCGCAGCATCAAGAGTCAAAGCGTTGTCAGACTATATTAAGATGGAAAAAAAATTGTGGTTCTGAATTTTGTGGTAAAAAAAACAGTTCTGGACATGATTTCCTGAATACACTCAGAACATTTCGAGAGTTCTGTTCACATTCTGCCAAACTGAGGAAGGAAAACAGCTGTGGCCGTGGGGTGCTAGTTTGTATTTCATAATACCTGCCCACACATGAAGTCAACTTTATCGAAGCATACTTATTGTTTCTATGTTTGATGTCACATAGTGTGCTTAGAATTTCAAATTCTGAAGAAAGGCATCATACCCTTATATCAAAACATATCCTTGAATAAAAAATACTGCAATTATAATATACAATTTATTCTACAGAATTAGAGATTAATAACTTCTAATTAGATATGTGACTTCTGAGTACCTTTATTGTTCATTCTAATATGATGTTCTTTAAATTATAAAAATATCACCAAAATAAATTCAACTAGTATGAGAGTTTTCCACAGACTGTTAATCAACTGACAAAAAAAAAAAAACAACCAAGTTTTCTTCCCAAATAGGAAGAAAAAGTAGAATTTAGCATATAATATTAACATAAAATTTGGTGTCTTGTTTCTTCTAGTAAATAGCCAAAAAAAGAATAAAACTTCTCCGTGAAATAATTTACAAATATCAGAACATATAATCATGAAAGACTAAATTTTACTGCTTTTATTTTCTCCATGAAGACTGATACAAGTACTAATTCATTGATAAAAGCCATGTATTGTGAGTAGGCAGATTTTATTGTTATTCAGTGAAATCTGAACTGCCTTCCCCTGGATCAGGAGAAAACAAATTGACAACATAGAATAATTTCCCAGCCTCAGTCTGTTTCTAAATTATCTTTCAACTTACCAATTATCTTTAGACTAAGAGTACTATAATTTACGAAGAATTTACTTATACAACTTCACAAATTTCATACTCGTTTTTATGTAATCAAATATGTATCTAATCTTTTAAAATACTGCTCAGTTGATAACAACTCTCTCAACTTAGAATCAGAATTTCCCATCTTAAAGAGATATCAGGCATCTTCTAGGCTAACTCACTCAGCCTACAGACGAAGACATTTAAGACAACTCTTTAAAAATCCAAATATTAGCCGGGCTCAGTGGCTCAGCCTGTAATCCCGCACTTTGGGAGGCTGAGGTGAGTGAATTGCCTGAGCCCACGGGTTTGAGACCTGCCTGGGCAATTTGGCAAGACCTCATCTCTACAATAAATCAAAAAATTAGCCAGACGTGGTAGCCCGCGCCTGTAGTTCCAGCTACTCGGAAGGCTGAGGCGGAAGGATCACCGGAGCCCAGCAGGTCGAGGCTGCAGTGTCCGGAAGTAGCCACTGCACTCCAGTCTGGGTAACAGAGACTCCAACTCAAAAAAAAAAAAAAAAAAAAAGTCCAAATATTCATCAGTTCTGTAGTTCACAGAAGCTGCTAGAAACTCAAACCTTGAATCTACTAAAATGTAAATGTGAGGAGCAGATGAACAGGTAAGAAAACCAGACAACACTATACCTCTTAGAAGTTTTATTTATTTTTGAGATGAATTTCCAAAACATAGAATATATATTTAGTTGCAAGGAAAAATACATTTTAAAACCAAAACAAATTACTTTTTAATTATTCATATCTGTCTTCTCCTTTTAGGGGCAAATATGAAGGATTAACTGTTCACTGTTAATAAAGAGGCTTACTATCAAAGACCATGAAACTGTAATTCAAATCTCTCATTATAGCCACCATCATCAAAAACACTCTAGAGGGCACCAGAAACAGCAATGTCTGCTTTCATTAAACTCAAGAAAGCATGACCAATTTTTCTTTGATAATGAAAACCTCACCCAATGTATATATGTACTATATGTGTGTGTGTGTGTGTGTGTGTGTGTGTATGTGTGTGTATATATATATATATATACACACACACTCTTTCTATAAAGGCACAAATATGTTGTTTACATATTTGTTTTTAATTAAAAAAAGTTATTACCTGTGAGTCTGTCACATACATCTGACCTTGTTTAAGAAGCATATCTTCTTTTCCTAAAGAAGCCCAAATAAATAGCATCTTAACTTAAATATACATATCAAAGTAGGCTAAGAATTCATGTGATGTTATTTCCTTCCCTTTATTATTCAAACAAAAGAGAAGCAGAAGGTACAAAACAGAATTATCTCTGTTCTCAAATACTCTTTTTTCCTCATTATTTCTGTAAACATAAGGAAAGTACCTACAGCCTACTGAACGATACTAAATTGGTTTCTAGAAATACATAAGGCTCTTAGACTAAACAGGTTACACGATTATAAAATATTACTTTACAATCAATCAAAACAAAAATGGCATTCTTGGAAATTTATAGGATAAATATCACTGTTGTATAGAGGATAGCTTAGTAAATATTGCCTAGGATACAAAAATCAGAAACTGTGTAAAACTAGAGAATTTAAAAAGTGAAAATCAATTATGCATAGTCGAAAAATAATACATAAATAACTATTTATGGAACTTGTAATTTTAAAATACTTACCTATATTGAGACTAATTTCTCTAAATCAGAAAATTATGTTTACATTTCTTTCCATAAAAAACAAACCTCAAAAATCACAAGACAAATGTCTACTGATCAACAAGGCAAATTTGTTAATTCATGCAATATACAACTTTTTTTTTTTTTGAGTTGGAGTCTCACTCGGTCGCCCACACTGGAGTGCAGTGGCCGCTTCCGGCCACCGCAGCCTCGACCTGCTGGGCTCCGGTGATCCTTCCGCCTCAGCCTTCCAAGTAGCCAGAATTACAGGCATACGCTACCACGCCCAGCTGATTTTTTTTTTATTTATTGTAGAGATGAGGTCTCGCTGCCCAGGCGGGTCTCAAACCCGCGGGCTCAGGCAATCCACTCACCTCAGCCTCCCAAAGGCGCGGGATTACAGGCTGAGCCATCGAGCCCGGCTGCAATATACAACTTTAAATCTAGGTGGCAAAGGAAAACCAGAGCCTCAGTGATGATCTGATCTTATGTCAGAGGCTGCAGCCTTGTCTTAATCTCTTCCGGCTTCCCTCTGCTGAGGTAACACAAGTTGTTGGATGACGTTTAGCAGCAGGAGTATCACATGCAGTTAGACAAATAAACAAACATTCCTCTTTGCTTGAACTATGTGAACTGTAATGAAAATCCATACTTTTATACTTACGGTTACTGAAGTGACTTCCTGATCCCAAATGATCACTCTGAAATCAGAAGCATAAATTAAAACAATTTAGGTGAATGCGGCTTCACTTTGCTAATTTCTGTATCTTTTTTAGCTCTAATGATCCAGTCACAAACAGCACCTTTCTGACGCTCCTTGTTTCGCCTGAATATTATTCTCCTCTAATCCACAGAAAGACACAGCATCAACAACACTCAGAGAGATCAGTCAAGAATCAGCTACTTTGCCAAGTATTTTAATAAAAGCAGCCAAGTGCGTCCAGGAAAACATTACTGCTCAGAAGTAAAAAGAGTAAGCCCCCCATGACCTGAAATGGCGTCCAGTATCTACTTTTGCCACTGCTTTACCTCAGGAGGGGCCACAGCTGCATCAAGAACTCATCTTCCTTTACCACTGTCGGGGGTGGGACCCACCTCATCGATTCCTTCAGAATTTATAGAATACCAACTACTTTGAAGGCAAAAGGAGACAGAGAGCAGGAAATGAAACTAAGGCCAAGACCTACACATGGTCATAAATTCATCCATGCCTCAGTTAGGAAAGGAGAAACCTCAGATACACTCTGAATCAATATATAAACCAGGACTGCTACTTTCCTCAGGTAAGCCGAATACAAAGAGCCTCATATGTAAATTAGAATGCTATAGCGGGGAGTGAGGGCACACAGATGCAGCTCACATCTGTGTGCATTTGGGTGTACTTGTGTTAACAGCTACACAGCACACAGAGTTAGGCAACCATGACAGAAGGTCCACAAGTCCATAGCTAAACTAATGCCATTTCCATTCATTTTTAGTGCCCCAAGGGTATGGAAAAATATCTGTAAGCTTAGTTAAGCGCTTAAGTTCCACGGAATACCTAGCCTGACACTAAAGTTTACGATGAGGGTGCCATGCAGCTAAGGTGTTCAAAAAACTTAATGTGGTCTTACTATTCTTCCTTTACTACACAAAAACAAACGCACATGTCATAACACAAAATTAGCCTCATTCTAAAATAACCACATTTCCCCATAGTTTTATACACATAAGGGCAATACCTATATATTAAGTATTACACATAATGCATAACACAGTGAAATTCTGCAGGTAGTTTGTGAAGTTTTTTAAGCATGTGAGATGACACAGCAGTGGATATTCAATGTTTGGAAATAATGACTACTTAGTAGTTTTGAATTACTACTTTTATAAATTCTGGGTCACATAAAAAGTGGGACTCATAATTTTCTGTTTGAAAGAAAAAGTCATTAGAAATGACATAATATTCATCACAATGAATATGTACTAAGGAAAATGTCCCCGTTTTGAATGAATGGGAAAGGCTATAAGCCAGGATGTACGACATGACCCCAGCTGCTCCATGAGCACACGGTACATGAACTACAGACAAAGGTCTGAATGATGCTGACCAGGTGCTCTCTGTTCTGAGATTACAGGTATCTTTATTTTCTACTTTCCATTTAATTCTACTTCCTAATTTTTCTAAAATCAATATGTATTATTATTGTAAAGAGAAAAAGTTACTTTTCTACAGTTTATTGTGACTATTGAAAGTAACAGACTCAACAATTTAGACAGAAGAGAGAAATCTTATTCTTAAGACATACAGACAGTCTGACACAGAGAAATCTGTACACAAATAATGTCCAAATCATAGGTGTCAGGTGTTGATGGGTACTTGAAAGGCCCCACGTATACTCCTATATTTTCTTATTCTAGCTATCTTAACTGTAAAACGAGCACTGTAGTTAAAAGTCCAAAGGAGTCAGATTCCTGGGTTCAAGTCCTCGCTATGCCACTTACTATTTGTGGACTACCTCATGAGTAAACCTCTCTGAGCCTCAGCCTCCCTACTAATGAAGTCAGACAAGGATAAAGCCTATCACATACACATGTGTGGTTTTTTTTGTTTGTTTGTTTGGTTTGTTTTGAGTTGGAGTCTTACTCTGTTGCCCAGACTGGAGTGCAGTGGCCGCTCCCGGCCACCGCAGCCTGGAACTGCTGGGCTCCAGCAATTCTTCCGCCTCAGCCTTCCAAGGAGCTGGAACTACAGGCGCACACTACCACGCCTGGCTAATTTTTTTGATTTATTGTAGAGATGAGGTCTCGCCAAGTTGCCCAGGCAGGTCTCGAACTCACGGGCTCAGGCAATCCACTCACCTCAGCCTCCCAAAGGCGCGGGATTACAGGCTGAGCCACCAAGCCCGGCTCATGTGTGTTTTAATATAAGTAAATTTTACAATGCAGCTCCTAGCCCATGGTCAGTGCTACTAAAACTTTAGCTATTACTAGTTCCACAATTAACCTAAAAAAGAGTCTTTGAGTGCAAAAAAGACAGAAGCCATGATAGCCAGTGCATTCTTTAGGTTATAAAATGATGTTTCTGAATAATATTTAGAATTCAGCCATACAAATATAAAATCTTTCTTCTTGTTCTATTTTTAAACATTTATCAAGGCATAACTCACCTGCAATAAAGTACACAAATATTAAGTACATGGTACAATGAATTTTTGCATATGTATCCCTTCTGTAATCACAACCCAGATCAAGAAATAGATTGTTTCCAGCACCCTGGAAGTTTCTTCATGCCCCACCCTAATCAATAACCCCTCACCAAACGGGGGCCTCTATTTTTTAAAAAATAATCTTTATTTTATTTATATTTTTCAGTTTACATGTATATAAGATAAAAATGCTTAAACCAGTCTCTATCAGCTAAGAGGCAGGCTACACGTCAGAGGAAAACAGAGAGTAGGAAGTACCATGACCTGGGAATGGTAACAGTAAAGCCTTTGCTAGGTAGAACAAAGGTATGCTACTAGCAGTCAGAGGGAGGGAGTTGCAAGAGGAGGAGAGATACAAGTAGCCCAGTGACTACTTAGATAGGAAGCTGGGAGGCTAAATAGCCCCACTTTCTTTTCTCTCTCTCCAATCTCTTACTGGGGCGCCCCACTGGTCAAATACAGTTGGAAGCCAGGGGTAAGAAAAAGTTGGTCTCTATTCTAACCTTTAACATCACAGATTAAGCTGCATAAAAAATAGAATTGTGCAGTATGTACTCTTTGTGCCTGATTTCTTTCATGCAACATTATGCCTGTAAGATTCACCCATGATTTATATTCTTTAGTGCATCCATCGTTTTTTTTATTTACAAAGAAAAAAACTATTTTTGCCATGGTCCAAATGTCCCCCCAGATGTGCTAAAATTTAATTCCCATGATGGTGCTACTAAAAGAGGAGGCCTCTAGGGAAGTGGCAAAGTCATGCGTACTCTACTTAGGCCCCTTTTGCCCTTTTGCCTTCTGCATGGGAGAAGGCAACAAGAAAGCCCTCATCCGACACGAGCACCAGAGCCTTGACCCTGGATTTCCCCACCTCCAGAATTGTGAGACATATGTTTCTGTTCTTTATAAATTACTCAGCCTTGGGTACTCTGTTAGAGCTGCACAACTGGACTAAGACTTTTTTTTTACGTGCGCTTTGTTGCTGTATCCCCAACAAGGATCAAAGATGCATACTGAACCAGCCACCTTCCTCAGTGATGCCCAGTGATGGAGCCTTTCTGAGATAATCCTGTACATAACCCTACTCTTTTCTATGACTTTTTTTTTTTTCCATCATAATCACTGAGAATTGACACTTAAAAATAAGAAATTTTGAAAAGGCAAGGATAAACGATGAAGAGAAGCTAGAATGTAACTAAACATCAATTATAAGTAGTCAATTTAAACGATCTCACTTAACTTTCACAATTCTGTGGAGAAACAGTCACCCCCCTATTCTGCCAAAGAGGCAAGAAGCTCAGAGACTTTAAATAAGCAGCCCAGGGTTGCACTAAAAATAACAAGATTTATCACTCAAATCCAAGTCTGACACCAAGTCCCTTATCACTACCCATTATAAATTACAGAAAATAATGTAAGCTTTCTATACCTCAAAATATTTAAATCTATTTTTCAGAGCCTCAATGGTTCTTAAGCTTTCTTCATGTTGCTTTTCTTTAGCTGCCAAAAGGGACTTCAGCTTTTCTCTCTGAAATGGAAAGAAATAAATACAGAGTAAAATCACTCAATGCTTGAAACTGGGTTAAAATATGTTTTAGAAAATATGAATTGGAATTATTTTTGAGGACTGAAGTTAACGAATTCTCCAATCCGATGAATTTTAACTATTTGTAGAATAGGTAATTTCTACACATATACTAATAAAACATACAATATATATAAACAATATTATGAACAATTCAAACATATTATTTTGAATCTTAGTGTTTTCAGACATATTCTTTATAATGCTTAGAGTTTTACATCACAAGTTTCACAGAAAGTGAAACATTCAGATGCAATCACAACAAAATGCCTGCAATAACCCATGCCACTATAGTCAGAACATACTTTTACAGTCATGCATAGATTTTATATTTTCCTTTAAACAATAACCAGAAATAGAATACTGGTCTCCATCTCAATCCAGGATTAAACCTTTACTCCAAGATCATCCTCAATCTACAAAACATTTTTTCAGTTTTACAATAAAGGTGCTCATCCTACCTCACTTTCCAGATCATCAGAAACCATTACTTCCTAAATTCAAAAAGAAAAAATACATTTTAATTTTTGGAAGTTTACTCTAAAAGTCATTAACTTGGCAAATGTCTGTTTTAAAGATTGGCCTATCTTTAAGTTGGTGACAAGGACGTGAGAAGAAATGCCATGTACCACCAGCTCTTGCATGAGTGGTCATTCGTCCATCTTACTCTCAGGCTGAGGCACTTTCGATTCCTTTGAGAACCCACCAGTCACCAAGCGCTACTTGCTCTCCCCCCTCATGTCTTTTGTCTATTCCTTCTTTTCCAATCTCACAACCCCAGCTGTAGTCCAGCCCTTTCTAGTATGATCACACACCTAAATGATTGAAGACTGCCTTCTTGTGGGGGATATGAATGGACGAGAATGCAAATGCATGTGTTCAAACCATTATCTTTACCTAGAAGTTAACCTCACTTTTAATCACACCAGAGTTAGTACTTAATTTTTACAGAGCACATTTAGTTTTCCCAACATATTTGATCCATTTCTGGGCTCACCAGTGTTTCCTGTACCCCACATCTTTTCTCTGTGTTCACATTTCTTCACACTGAAGGGCATTCTTCAGCAGTTCCTTTCCTGAGAGTCTGGGTGACAAATTCTCTAAGACTTTGAAAGTTGGAAAAGGTCTTCATTTTGCCCTCACTCTTTGAGTAATTGTTTGGGAATGAAAGCCTAGACTGAGAACTCACTTTTATTAGCATTTTGGAGATATTATTGAGCTCTCTTTTTGCCAATATAAATATCCCTATCAGTCTGACTTTCATTTCATTAGATCCTCTCTCTCCATCTGATGGTGTATATTCATAGTTGCACAATGTTGTATCTACCTATGTCTATATTTTTATCTATCCAGTTTGGTACTCAGAGTACTCTATCATGTGAAATAATCTCTTTCTTCAGTTCTTTAATGTTATCAACAACGATCTCTATTTTCTTTTCATTGGACTTGCACATGTTTATGCTTTTATTTCTGTGTGCTGCATCTGGATGAAAACTTTCTACTATCCAGCAATTCACTAACTTGCTCTTCCATTGTAACAATCTAGAGTTTTAGCTTGTCACAATTTTAATCTCAGTGACTGTCCTTGGGACAACTAACTCAGTATGGGGGGGTAAGGATTAGGAAAGAAAAGACTCAGAGATGATCCTAAGGTTAGCACCAACAACAGCTGACAGTACTCTTAGAACACAAAAGGGGAACAACTGACTTGGGGATGAATTCATGATTTTGCTTTTGGATACATTTAGTTTTAGGAAAATCTAAAATAGATAGCAAGTGTCATACTGACAGAGAAAATTAGAACCAAAAAGGACACCCTTCTACCAATCATGCCCATAACAAGTCATATGCATCAAAAAATGTGCGTTTAAAGAGTGCCCTGATTATTCTGAATTTCATATATATTCTACTTTCCCTCTAAAAATAATGATTTATAAATACCTCTTACAGTTCCAATATTTTGCACAACAGAGAGAATACACTACAGATGCTCTTGGAATCTGCCCATGGCAAGGTTCCTGGAACACCCTCTGACTCCCTCTCATGTCCTCACATCCAACAGAAGCACCATCTCCTACAGGAAGTGGCACTCAGAGGCAGCGGCCCACAGCGACCTCTCCTTGCTTTCCTGGACACCCCTTCCACTGTCCTCACCCATCAGCCACTTACTCTTCTTCATATTTGGCATTGCCAGTTTCATGGAAAGGGCCTGCTCCCCAGTGAGACATACCGCACCCCATGAACAATGAACCAGTCTGCTATTGATGATAATTACCAGTAGTAAACAGCTTTTGAATATTTTATTATGCAAATTATTTACCTCATTCAGTTGTAATTGTAAACCATTGACTTTATCCAGTAGTATTCTTTGTTCTTGCTGCATTTTTCTCAACCTCTCTTTCAAATCTTCATTTTCAATCTCCAGGTCCTCAAATAAAAGATAACAAATGGCAGACCAATCTTAAATGAGCAATTCTTAAAGATGAAATTTTTTAAAGCAGCTTGCTATTATACACAGATATATACATATACACTTACATGTACACTTAAAGTGTATACATACACTTTTAGTACAAAGATACAATAATCTCATTAATACTCAAATGATTTAAAATCTACAGATCAGAAATAGTATGGAAAACTACTGTCCTCTGATATCTAATAAATACATATACAAGAGGGCAAATCATCATTCCAATACATTATAAAGTGTCACCTAGAAACAGTTAACAGCAGAAGAATATGTCATTTTAATTTTTGTTTAAGACTTCCCAGCTTGAGACTATTTTAATGCTTTTGTTAAACTAATCATAATTTCAGTGCTCTGATAAAACATTAAAGGTTCTAGTTTACGGATATAGTTCACTTTCTTAACACAATATAGTATACTACTAAGAAAATTCAAATAAAATACTTTTGTTTTATTACACTGAAAACAGCTATTCAATTTATAATTTAGTGGTGTTTCAATCATAAAATAAAATATTTAATTATGTGTTCTTCCTCTAACATAACCCACATTATTTTTTGAAAACTCTGACCAACATAAAAGGTAAAAAGCACTGTGTGGTTACTTTAACAAAATTATTTTTCTTAAAATAAAAAGTATATTAAGAAAAGTTCAGATTTTATTTATATTAATGATCACTTTTCTTGATATAATTAACTTTCCAAAATGAACACAAATGTATGTTCTATATTCTGAAACAAATACATTTAAGTCAATTACATAAAGTTCTTAAATAATTTGTTTTTTAGATATTGAAGCAGAACTTTCCGTACCGTACCATACTTCTAACGTTAAATAGTTTAAATATATAATACTGACACAAACAGGCATAACAAAAGTCCATTCTTTGAGAAGGGTTTAATGAGCTCCCTTCCTTCCCGCTCACCCCACCCACTCTCCTGCTGGCCCCCCTCTCCCACTGTCCACCACAAACACCACTGGAATCCTCTTTAAAGGAAGGCACCCCATGTGGGTGTTTTCTTTTTACCTGAATGCTCTGATGCTCCCTCTGATTTGATTTCATGTTTATCTCATCTTGCATGTGTGGCAAATTTCGCTTTGGTAAAACATAAGAAAACACAGGTTAGCAAGCATGAGAATGCAGAAAAGTCTATTTTCCTCAATAGGCAATAATACACTCAATTAGTGATTTGCAGTTTATTCAACATTAAACTTTGCAGCACATAACACAAGGTGGCAGTGTTTCCACTCAAAATTCTCAAACGGAAAGCATCTTTAAGGTTACAGGCTTTATCAAGCATAATTTATTTGAAAATACTAAATGATATCAGAGTTTAAAATATTTATTATTAAGGATTTACTAAAGTCACATATTTTTCAAAAGGAGAATTTATACTAAGCACGAAATGAAAGGTGTGCTATAAAAGCACTAACAACCACACCCAAACAAAAAATTAAGTTTAAAAAAAAAAAAAGGAGAAAGAGTAGCATTAGTTTTCAAACACAGTATGGAAATTATTTACTTCTCTGAGTGCTGCTAAGGTGTGGCAAGGAAGAGGCAGACAATCCTCCGACCAGAGCTACATAAAAGATCTCTAAATAACTTGGTTGGGTATATGTTCTGTTTTTGTACACTTACTGCTTTGAAACTTTATCCCAGCTTAGAGATTTGCTTTAACAAAAACACAACACAAGTATTAAACAAGAGAACACATAACCTTTTTTTAACCCAAATATCTTTAAATTTGTATAACTAATTTAGAAAACTATTTATTTCTTCCTTTTTGAGAGTTAAAAAAGAAAGCTGTTGTTTTAATTCTTCAAGATAATTTTTTCATGTTTTGTATTACTTGAGTTTTGTTTAACCAAGTTTTAAAGCTATCATTCTAATGAGTCTGGATCTAGAATTAAGAGAAACAGGTCCCATTACAAAGTTACTCTCCATCCACAATTTGGCCCAAACTACACTTCCAGTCTCATTCTTTCCACCAAAGCACTGTTCTTCAAGCAGAATCTCACCTGCTCATGCCACCAGCATTCGGCCTTCCCTTCAGAACACTCGCCCACCGCCTCCCTTCCCCTCCACACCCAGGCTCAGACATACGAGTCAACCCCATCCTTGAGAACCCATCTTCCTGACAGAGCCTGTGAACACAGAAAAGTACCCCTCACGACCTCGGTCCATGCAGAAGTGGCCTGATGGGTGCTCACAGCCTGCCTGCTGCTGTCCATTAGTTACTGGTGGACACGTGTTCCCAGTTCTTGCCATACAAAGTCCTTCATAATCTAGTGCCTGGTTCTTTTGATAGTATCCTTTCCTGCTGCCTCTACCGTGCACATCACAGCCCTCACACTGGTCTTCTGTGGCCCCTGGGCCTGTTGAATGTCCTCCCTCATCAGGGGCTTGGGACCTGCCCTTCCCACCTGTGAGCTTCTCCCACATAGCCCCCAGCACTTCTTCATTCCTGGTACTATTTCGCTTTTCTTCAGAGCATCTACTCTGATACCAAGTATCCCCTTTACTGTTCATCTCTCACTCAGTTGGAAGCTCCTGAGGGCAGGGACTCTGTACACTACAATACAGAATTGGAACATGGTAGGTGTTCAACAGACACTGTGGAACAAACATCTGAACGCATCTTAGGTTTACAACTAGACTGTAGGCTTCTTGGTAACAGGGATTATGTGTCCCTTCGTACGAGAACAAATCCTACTTAAAGCAGATATTTAGCAAGTATGTTCAATAAATAATGGACATACGGTCATGAGGAGCCACTGGTTCTCTTGCTCCTAGTAGAATATGACCACTATGTATTCACTTAGGGAACTCCTAGAACACTGAGCAGAGCTCTGTTTCCATATGAATAGTCAATACTCTTAAACATCTGTATATCTTGGAAACCCTTTTTCTCTGATTCTATGTGAGATGGATGGTATAGACAGAACAGTGTACATTTTATCCACTCGACTCCCACTTAGGTTACATAAGGTGGAGGGAAGAAGGCTGAACAATTGCTGCAGATGGAAGTGTCAGCAGCCACGATCCACACACAAGCACATTCATTCAGACGCACTAAAGAGGAAACAGGCTTTGACAGAGCTCTCAGAGCCAGGTGAGAGGCAGAGAAAGGGTTCAGGAGGAAGAAGATTGCCCAGAGGGTACCTGATACTTTCTCTGGCAGGTTTGGAAGTGCTCAGGTCCCCTCACTAAAGAAAAGCAGAAAGCCTGGAGGGAGCAGCTGGCAGGAGCAGAACATAGCTATACTCGCTTGCACCAGAGTGTGGCCAACCAACCCCACTGACTGTCTCACGAAGAGATTGGGAAAACACAGACATTTTCTCAAACTGAGACACAAAACAAGGGTTAAAGAGAAACTTGATAATAAAATTGGTACCAAGTATGAGTTATTTCATGTACTGTTATTTTTTTTTAAGTCAAGTCCTCAATTAAATACCAGAAGAAAAAGACTGAAAAGAAATAAAAATATTAACAGCAGCACTGAACTCACAATATATAATCAGTTTTGAATTCTGATTTCTTCATTTCTTATTGCCTAGAAAGAATTTTCCAGTAACAGTAAATATTTGGCTCTGTGATTAAGGGAGAATAGGAGACACCACTCATAATCTGCCAGGTTGAAATGCATCATTTAAAAAGCTATGCTACCTCACACTTGAAAGAGCTGGATGTTCAAAGCCCCAGTCAAGAGGCCATCTATTTCCCACTAGATACATTCATTATAATTAAGACCCATTGTCTCAAGATGAGTAACAGCATCTTGATAGGTCCTCATGATCTTAACACCTAAGCTCTCCTGGGCATGACTAAGGAGAGAATGTATTTCAACTCAGAACAGTTATGCATAATCATTAACCAAATTATTCTAAGTACTTTATTTAAACTGTACAATATATATAACTTTATAAAAATTAAAATGAAGATCTACCTGTTGCAAAGATGGTCCTTTCTTCCAAAATTCTCTCCCTAAAGATTTAAAAAGAGAAACAGTAAGTTAAGTTGTGAGAAATATGCATTCCCCAACTATACAACTGACTCAATATTAAATAAACAAATTATCAAGTTTCCTCTAAAGCATACAACTTTTTAGTTTTATTCCCAAAACATATGCTTAAAACAATTGTGAAATGTCATCTGTATCTACAAAATTGGCAAAGTTTTTTTTATAACAGTATTCGGGTAGATAACATTCAATACTAAAGAGGTAAGTTTAAAAAAAATGGAAAATTTAAAACACTGTCAAATTTGTCAACATATATCAGACTTAAAGAAAGGGGCATGCCTTGAAAACTCAATGTTCAATTTCTAGAAACTGACCCTAAGGGGCAATAAAAATATACCAAAATAGGTACACATAAGGACAGTCACATTATTATACTAATGAAAAACTTTAAATACCACCTATAGAAAATGGTTTCATTACATGAAATTTAAATAAGTGGAATCATATGCATCAATAAAAATCATATTATTAAAAAATTTATGAAGGAAAAGCCTTCAAAGTATATTACATTAAAAAGTAAGTCACAGTTCAGTATTATAGATGATCTCAATTATAAGGATGGGAAAGGACCAGAAAGATATTCCTCAAAATGTTGACAGAGGTCCCCCAATGGCAGGATGAATGACTAACTTTATTTGTTGTGCTTTTCTGTATTTTCACAATTTTTCTTTAATAAACATAGAAAAATACTCGGCATAGGCATTCTATAAATATCAGTTGATATTTTATATACACCTTTAAACAATTCTTTCTTTAAAACTCTGTAAGTATATAAGTATGGAGCTCCACCTCTCTCCATAAAAACAAAACAAAATAGTAACACTTTAATTGATTCCTCCTCCTCACTTCTTAAGTTATTCTGCAGTGTTTTAGTTCCCTTGACAAACCAGACCACACATGCAGCGCACATGCCTCAAACCACCTGACTACGATGCAAGTAAGCCATCCATGGCATAGAGGTAGATGAACCCACACCCCTTCTCAGTGAGGAGTGGTGCCTCAAGAGCTGCCCTTTATTAATGTGGACTTTTTTCTTTTTTTTTCTTTTTTTTGAGTTGGAGTCTCACTCTGTCACCCAGACTGGAGTGCAGTGGCCGCTCTCAGCCACTGCAGCCTCGACCTGCTGGGCTCCGGTGATCCTTCCGCCTCAGCTTTCCAAGTAGCTGGAACTACAGGCGTGCGCTATCACGCCCAGCTGATTTTTGATTTATTGTAGAAATGAGATCTCACCAAGTTGCCCAGGTGGGTAACTCGAACCCGCGGGTTCAGGTAATCCACTCATCTCAGCCTCCCAAAGCGCTGGGATTACAGGCTGAGCCACCGAGCCTGGCTTGGACTTGCTTCTAGCTAAAGAAAACTGCTGATACCTTTGCTGGTGTTTTCCAACGCAGTCTTCAGTAAGGCTAGAATGTCCAGATTGTCACCAATTCTTGCATAGTAAGAGCTATCGTGGCCAAGGGCATCCAGCAAGCTTACATCAGCACCGTTTTTGATTAAGACTTCTACTGCATCTCTGCAGCCGTACTCACAGCCCAGCATAAGAGCAGTTCTGAAAGGGAAAATGGGAAGTAGAAGACTTTGAGAAAAATCCAAAGAACTATTTCAGAAATATTCTGCCAGAGGCCCTCTTCTTACAGAACAGATACTTCTTTAAGAAGATACTTCTTTAAGAAGTCGTGCCTGTTACAGATTAGAGATTTGAATTTACATTATCTTTTTTCTTTTAAGTGAGAAAGCAGGATGTATTGAGGACAGAAAAGTGGGAGGGGACCCGAAGGGGTTGCCCCTACATTATCTTGTATGTTAATTTCATTGTATTTATAAAACCGTTTGCTTTGTGTCTTAGTTTGCAGAGCTAAAATCTTCCATCACCTTACATACTTGAATTATTTCTTCTACCAAACTCACTTCATTTATTCCATTTGTTTCATGTCCTATAGATAATCACCACAAAAATCTTCCACAACTGTCACCCCATGTGCTCAAAACCCAACTTCAAGCCCCTTCATGAACTGAATTACATCATACAAACATCCCCTACAAATCCCCTCTCACAGAGAATTGGGTTCCATTCCTGGTGTTCCTGCAGAGAAGAGCCTTGCTTGTCCTACCAGAAGACCTTCACATTTTCAGACTTCATTTAAGTCTCCTTAAAGAAATTTTCCTCAAAAACTCCATGTTAACGTGGACTGTGGCCTGACTCTGCCATGATGGGATTGTCAGCACTTAAATATTTCACAGCATGCCAGCCAATAGGAATTATGCCACAAAGCAAGTAAAGTGTCAAGAAAATTTTGATGGACCCTAGAAATTATTTTGTTCAATCCTCTATTTTCTTTTTTCCTTTTTTTTTTTTTTTTTTTGAGTTGGAGTCTGACTGTGTCACCCAGACTGGAGTGCAGTGGCCACTCCCAGCCACCGCAGGCTCGACCCGCTGGGCTCCGGCAATCCTTCCGCCTCAGCCTTCCAAGTAGTTGGAACTACAGGTGTGCACTACCACTCCCGGCTAATTTTTGATTTATTGTAAATATGAGGTCTCGCCAAGTTGCCCAGGTGGGTCTCAAACCCGCAGGCTCAGGCAATCCACTCACCTCAGCCTCCCAAAGGCGCGGGATTACAGGCTGAGCCATCGAGCCCAGCCAATCCTCTATTTTCATTGCTGAGAGAACCGACACCTGATGAAATGAAGTAATTTATCCTATATCTAACTCTGTCTGTACTTATTAATCCTGAGTTTCACAGTTCCCCATAGTTGCCAGTATAAAATACTATACACATAGGCATTAACAAAGATTCTGTTATCAAGTAAAAAAAAAAATGCTACAGGAAAAAAAAGGAATCTTGAATATAGAGTGTCAGAACTAAGGTTATAAATTATTTTTAAAACATCTGCTATTTAGTCTATACAATGTACATTGACATACACCATTGGCCTTTTGTGAACTTCAAATGAAAAACATTTTTAAAAGTGCTTTGAAAAATATGACATATATAAAAATATAAGACAGTATATGTGGATCAACCAGATCAATGCTCTCTGACCCTAAAATTTAATTTCAAAATCAAATTTCTTAGTCATGCTTGAGATCAGATTATAGTATCTATAAAAACAAAGTAATATAAAAAGCCACTATCTTAATCATTTAATGACTTAGTTGCTTAAGAATTTCTTCCTTAAGGCCACTGGCTATTGCATGAATCTGTCACTTCCTTTCTTCAAAGCCATGAGTGTTTCTCCCAACACCTTTCTAAAGCAGTGGGGCTTCTTGATATTTACCCAAAAGTACTCTCAAACGGCAAAGTCAAGATGTTTGGTTTAACACAGGAGTTTGGGGCTTATAATTTTTGCCTTTGATTAAAGATGAGAAATACACTTAATTTACAAAAATTTAAAAAAAGAATCTCCTCCTTTGAGAATGTGAACTATAAAAGCAAGTGGAGCTATAGAATCTGACAACGAAAGACTATTCTGTATACTTATCTAATTCCAGTAAGCTGCAGACAACAAATACATGTTTACAAGAACACAATTAAAGCAAAAGGACTAACAACTTTATAGCAATTATCTGTAAGATCACAGAAATCTCAGTGTAATTTATTGTAATACTTCAATTAATGGAGGGGATATATTTCAGAAACTGTGTGACCAAAAACATCAGAATTATACACAAGCATTGTAATAATTAGATGGCAAGAAGGAAGTAGGGAGAATTTTGGATAGAAATTATTAGAGCATTCACACTAAAGTAATCACAGACAGAAGCATAGATAAACTAAGGGAACCTCAGTTCCAGGAGACACGTGGGCCCTCACAGGGGAGGGGAGAAACGCCTGCGGAACCACACTGAAAACACGTCACATTCGAGGACGCCCCAAGCCACTCTACTCTCAAGAGAGTCGCTCAAGAAGAACAGATCATAGATGGAAGTTTACAATTTTTCTTCTTTATATCTTATATGCACACACCATTTCATCCAAGATTTTTTTAAAGCTTAGAATACCTGGGATATAATTCCTCTTTCCTTCAACTCTTTGGCCTAAACATAGGCCCTACTCACCACTTTTATTCAGTATTTACCCTGTCATCTTCCCTGTTTCCCTCTCCTTCCTTCTTCAGCAAACTGAAGAAAAATGAGGAGTGAATGCTAATGCCAAGAAATAACAAGCCAAGGAACGGGAGGACCACGAGGAGGACGGCCCCGTCAGAGCACAGGGCTGCTGTGTGACCAGCCTCTCCAGTCCCATGCATGCCGCTGGAATCTGGGGAGCCTTGATAAAGAAATTACCTGTTTTGTTTGTCTCTGGAATTAACATCCGCTCCTTTATCTATGAGCAGCTGACATATTGCTGGCCTACACATCTGAGTGGCCAGGACAAGTGGCGTCCGCCCATCCTAAGCAACAGGAAAGTTAAAACAGTGTTAAGATTACCCATCTCCCAAAATGTCAACGTTTTCTAGAAAACATAAGTACTCTATGAAATGAGGATGTAAACTGACTTACTACATCTTTGGCATTCACCAAGGCCCCATGGTCGCAAAGCAGCTGTATGCTCGAAGGACAGTCTGCCATTGCTTTAAGGAACAAAAGAAAATGATAAATGGTGAACATCTGTTGGCTGTAAGATATATGGTGTTTTTCTAGGTCCATATAAGGCATAAGTTCTTGAGTTTCTAAACTATCAACCTTCACACCCTCCACTCTTAGTTTAGCATTATAAGCAACAATTTTTCATCTGAAAACACATTTGACAAGATCATTTTATTTTTTTTTTTTATAATTAGGACCAAGGAATATTGTCAACTGTGCAGAAGACAAGAATATACTGTTATTATAAGGGTAAGAATAGATAATAAAAATCAAACTTAAATTTTGTATTTACCGTATATTTTTAAACATGGCTATAACTGACCTGATCCTTGAAGTGTTAGTGCAGTTTTTTTTTAAAGAATCATATCATTTTTCATACAGCAGTCACAGTAAATAAAGTATGAATCATACAATTAATATTTCCTTGTAACACAGAGATTACATTGTCTATCTTTCATGATGCAAACTGGGTTCATTTTGCTCAAAATTACAAAATCATATTTATGCTTTGGCCAACAGTAAGTGCATATTTATATTAGAAAAAATTGTTAAATTCACAAAATAGGGTTGTGTTTATAATCCTTATGAATCTTTAAAACCTTATAAGTTAACATAAAATAATAGCACAAAAAGCACTGACAACGTTAGCATTCTTTCTTTTTTTCTTGGTGGAATTCAACAGAATTAAACCAAACACATAAGAAAATCAAGTAAATTTTCATTTCTCAAGTCTCTTATTTAGCAAATCTTTTACATAAAATGTATAATCAACCTTAATAGAAACATAAATATATACTTGAATATATTAATTCAGGAAACATAAAATTAACATTCAAGTCCGGTTATAAATGAGAATGAAAAAATATAAAGCATAATACATTTTAGAGTTATCATATATTGAACATGTAAAGTCAGTATTAAACATACTGGATGGCAGAGAGTGCTAGCTGTTTACCCAACTCTGATCGCCCTTTTCCCATGGTCACATGATGCTCACCCAGAAACCACATTTCTCAATCTCCCTTGCTGTTAGGTGTATTCATGTGACTCTCATCCTGCCAATGGAATCTGACAGAAGCAATGTGTGCTACTTCTGTGTCTAGGTCTGAAAAGACCAGTTATGCATTCCTCCATAATCCTTTCCCTTCCAATGAGTAGCAGCACAGAGGAGCTTGCTACCAACTTCAACCTTAGGGCTGAGGATAACACCCTGGAAGACGGTATAATTACAACATGGAAGAAATGAGTCCCTAAATGGCCCTAGGGAGCGGGGGCACCAACCAATCCCAACGTGAGGACATGAAAGAAAGACATTCTGTACTTTTTTAAAAGCCAGTGTTATTTTATGGTCTCTTTGTTACAGTAGCCTAGTCTTAGCTCAAAGAAAAAAATTACTATCAGGAGTAGAGTGTTGCTGTAACAAGTACCTAAAACATACTGTCCTGGTTTAGTGGCTGGGTAGCAGATGATGAGTAAACATACTGAAGCTGGAAATCTGGTGGTTATTCTCATGCTGTGTCAAAACATTTGATAAAACCATCATCTGTGATGATTTAGAGGGCACACCATGTGACTATGGAGCCTTTCTAGGTGAAGAAATAGAAAAAAGCCAGCATGTCAGTGCATTATTATCAGCTGCGCACTGTTCTTAGCAAGGTATTTTAGGAAAGAGATGAGCTCTAGCAAGTTTAGCCAGTGTGAGAACAGGGATGGAAGGGAACAGAGAGTGACCAGATGTCTGGGGCCCTGCAGGTGTGGTGAAACCAACTGTTTCTCAATACCAAATAATAGGATATAAAACTGCTGTTGCTCACAAGTTTTCTCAAGGATCTTTCAATAAGTTTTTTAAAAAAAGAGCAAGTCCTGGAATAGAGATTAGATAGAGGATGTTATACATCCATCAAAGACTATTATTTCAGATGGTTTTGAAATTGTAGCCATTAAAATGAGGTGGAAAATCTAGAGAAAGTCTAGAAATAAAGGAGGATTATGAACCCTGTATCGAGAAAATAACTTTGGAGATGGTTTCCAGCATATAGAAGTAGTTGGCAACAAACAGACCAGAAACCCATCAAGCTTTTGAGGGAACTGTACTACCCCAAATTCTAAAAGCCCAGTTGGCTAAAACTCATGATTGTTCCAGCCCTTAAGCTGCTTCCACAGAGGGCATATTCCCTAACATCCAACGTATCTGTGGCCTTGGAGGATAATGGACAAGTAAAACCCTGCCAGAAGGCATAGCCCAGTGTGACAGAGGACAATGGATAAAAGATTTATCCTAGAAAACAAAATGGGAATAGGGGAGTAGGTGGGGGGAAGCTAAGCTAACCAAGAAAGCTACTCCAAGACTTCAGCAGGAAGTCTTTGCAAGTTTTGTTCACCAAGATTTGTTATGACTTGTTATTGACTAGTGACTGTTGTGTATCCCTGTTCTCCCTTTCTGAAAGGGAGTCTTTACTTCACTTACCCTGTTCTTGCTCCATCATTTGCACTTACAGATTGCTAGACCATGAAGAGCCACCTCTGAGCCAAAAAGAAAAACCTGCATACCACCCAGAAATCCTAGATTTTGAGCTAGATGAAATAGCTGAATTGGTTTATGTGTCCTCTTCCTTGGGAGGTGATAAAGGGTTCTATGTGTGGAAAGTAGGGGATTTTCAGAATATCTGGAAGGCCAGAGGGTTGGACTGTAGTAGAAAAATGCCATTTTTATAACCAAAATGTGTTCTCCCCTTCTTCTACTGTGCAGCAGTCTCCTAGAGACTGTATTTCTGAGCCTCCCTTGCAGATGAGTGCAATGGAATGTGAATGGAAGGTTACATGCCACTTCCAGGGCTGGGGCTCAGACTCCGGGTGTGTGCTCCTCTATGCTCTCCTTTCCCTTCCACCTGGCTAGAACACTGCTATGTCTATAACTCTGCTTCAACCTTGGAGTTGAGGAAGACATCATCCAGAGGACAGTGGGGCAGCAAGATGGATAGAATTTAGTTCACAGATGACCATGAGTCAACTGCCAATGTACATCACTTAACAATATTTTTTAATAACATCAAAGAAAAAAAATAGAAACCAGGATCCTAAACTTGCTATGTCAAAGGGAAAGTTAAGTTTGAAAACTGAGTCAAGCAAAACAAAATAAAATGCCTTCGTTTTGTTCCCAGATAGTTGTACGTGCTTACTTAACCATATGTAAAATGTACATTTACTGAGCTCAAGACAAATGCATAACTGATGGTTTTCATACCTGCTTTTTTCACATGTAAAATGTAGATTCACTGAGCACTAATTGGAGCCTCACAGGAATGCAACCACTTGCCTCACTGCAGGCCATCCTCCCCCTTTTTCACCCCGCCCCCTTCCCTTCCCGCTTGCTCTCCCCCTTTTAAACACTGAAGTCCTCAAAACCCTCTTTGGAAAGAGCACAAGACACAGATCATACTGTGACTCAAGTTTCTTCTTCTTGGGCGCATCCTCAATGTTGGCGAAATAAACCTCTCATTGACTGAGTTCTGCCTCAGTCACTATTTGGTTACAATGAGCAGCTGCTACTGGAGTTCTTTTGTTACACTAACTTATTCTCCATCCTAAATAATACATATACGAACAAATATTCAGATTTCAGTCAATTAAGCTGTCCCAGTTTGAAACACAGGGATAATAAAATCTATACTTAACTCACAGGAGTCACTGTGAGGTTCAAATGATAATGTATGTAAAAATGCTTTGCAAAGGCAGTAATACCATTTGATACAAAAATAAGAAAAAAGTATCATATGAAAAATAAAACTATCATAAAAGCATATAAAATACAAAAATAAAAAACTGAAGACAATTAAGGGATAAAAATTTGGAGGAAATTTGAAGTATCATATGTCTTTAATGCAGACCACTTTACCTACTGTTAATATTTCACATACGTGTAAACAAAGGGTACACTGTCTTGTTTCCTTTGGCCTTCAACTAAACTGCAAGATTATCAGACTCAGAAGAGTCTGGCAAGAAATCAGGCTATCTTACATTTAAAAAATACTTAAATATATAAGTTTTCTCAAAGTACTTTCTTTAAGATACCTAAAAAATAATGCAGATAAATTTAGACACACAAGAAGTTAATAAAAATAATTATTAATTAATAAGTGAATCTCTGAAATAATTAATAAATCTCTGAAATTACTAGCATAAATCTTTTTTAAAATATAGCACATTACAGTGATACAAAATTCAGCATTGACGATGCCACATGAAAATGACCGGCAAGACTGCTCATGCTATAATCCCAGCACTTTAGGAGGCTGAGGCAGGTGGATTGTTTGAGCCCAGGAATTCAAGAACAGCCTGGGCAATATAGCGAGACTCCATCACTACAATAAATCAAAAAATTAGCCAGGTATGGGGGACATGTGCCTGTAGTCCCAGCTTCTCAGGAGACTGAGGAGGGAGGATTGCTTGAACCAAGGAGTTCGAGGCTGCGGTGAGCCATGATTGTGCCACTGCACTCTAGTCTGGGTGCCAGAGTAAGACTCCAAAGGAAAAAAAGAAAAGAAAAGAAAAGAAAATCACCATCATCAATTAAGAAATTAGTATGTGATGTGCCCAGCACTATTTATTTATGATTTAACTAAAACTACTAATTCCAGTAGTGTTATTAACTTCATTTGCAAATGAGAACAATGAGGGTTCAGAAAGGTAAACAGTTTTTAAGAAGCAGGAAAGTCTTTAGTAACAGCAAACTGGCCTATAATATTGTACAATCTAATAAATTTCAAATTTGAATACACAAAAAAATCTTCTAATATTTTGTGTTTCTCCATGAATTATACAAATGTATAAATGTCAAAACACTGAAATTAATTTAAGTGACTGGACATTTTAACAAATCTGTGTCTGTGTCCAAGGGAAACCTCTGATTACCTGCATCGTGAAGTGCAGTTCTTCCCTGCAGGTCTACGTGTTCAGTGGGACAATTGTACTGTTAAAACAAAGAAACTTCACTTTAAAATTAATATCCACACTCACATGAACAGATGGTATTTAAGCTTAAACTATTCTATTTACAGAAACTAAAGACTACTAGACAATTCACTAAATCATCTGACATGAAACAAATATAGTAACTTTATATATCTAAATCAAAAGCATTTCACCAAACAGGAAACATACAGAACATTGTAATAGCACAGAATATAGAAAAATATGCATTGTTTGTTTGTTTTTCCAGCAAGAATTGAAACGTGAACTACTGAATCAGGAAAACAAGTGAGTTCTACTGTAAAATTTAGTGGCAAAAATGTTTGTGGAAATGTATGACTGAAGCCTTTTGTTGAAACTGTAATTCAGCCAACTTGTTCACAGAATTGTGTGGTTGCCTGATTAAAAACTTAATAAAGTGAACATTTTAGTCTAAGTTATCTATGTTTGTACAGAAATATATAGACCCAAAATTGTGCCATTTTATCGTATGTCATAGTCTAGACAACAGAAAATTCCAATCTCCAGCTAATGTCAACAGGAAGGTCAATTCTTTGTTATTTATTTTTAATTCACTCAGTTATGCAATTCACTTCCTCAGAGTTTTTGCCCTCTCTTTATTGTTCACATTCCTTCACAAAGAATGAAAAAAAAGTATGTACCCTAATAGTCAAAGTTAGCCTGTGATCTCAAATTTTTAAAATGCATTAAAAACACATCTATAGGCCACGCTTCCTTCAAGTGTCTGGCCCCCTCTCTCCCTTGAGCAACAAATCCACTCTCTTCTAATCTACTTTCTAATAAACTTTTTTTTTTACTCTACACACACACACACCTATCACTTGCTGTCAAGACAGTAAAGCTACAGCATGAACCACTTCTACTACCTGAAGCAATTTTTGTAGGCACAATGCGTGTCCATACTTAGCAGCCAGGTGAAGAGCATTTCTCCCTATAAAAGAAATAATTTAAGATACAGGTGAAGGATTATTTTCTTCATCCTTGAATTTTCAAAGAAATATGATTCTTCGTCCCCAAAATTAGTTGACAGGTACTTAATTTGAAAGCATGCTTTCAGTTTTGAATATGTTTCGCCTAGTTTGATATTTTAAATAGAAATAATATGCACACCAAAACAATAAAAGTAGAAAGAAGAATTGATCATCTAAATCCATATCAAGCAAGAACTCCGTCACTGTGTCTCTAGCACCCAGGGCAGTATCTGAAACAGAGCAGGTAGTCAAGTTCTGGGACAGGGAAAAGGGGAAGGAGGGAGAGAAAAGAAAAAGAGGATGAGGAAACAAGGGAGGGAAACATTTCCAAATAGGCAGTGTGGACACTAAAAATAGACAGTTAAGAAGCGTAAGCCATGGAAAGGGTTTTTGCTAATTAACTTTTATGCTTCAGCTAAAATTCAAAGTTCATTATGAAATGTTATCTCTGAAAACCAGACAAGGTTCAAATATAATATGCATCACAATGTGCAATTTTAAAGGGAAATGCCACAGGGGGTTGGGAGGAGAGGTTACCAGATAATCCAAATCAGGGGTCCTCAAACTACGGCCCACGGGCCACATGTGGCCCACAGAGGACATTTATCCGGCCCACCGGGTGTTTTTTCTGCCGCTGCCTGTCCTGCCTAGCAGCCGACTGGTCCGGCCCCGCGGTGCGTATGTGTGGAATGTGCGTCGCACTCTCCGACTCCCCTCCTTCTCTCTGTCTGTCGACTTCTCCTCTCAATCTAGACTAACTGATGCACACTTGCATCACTTGTTACGACTAGCAGTGACAAATATGGAACCGGACATTGACCATCTCATTAGCCAACAGCAGGCCCATAGTTCCCATTGAAATACTGATAAGTTTGTTGATTTAACTTTACTTGTTCTTCATTTTAAATATTGTATTTGTTCCCGTTTTGTTTTTTCACTTCAAAATAAGATATGTGCAGTGTTCATAGGAATTTGTTCATAGTTTTTTTTTAAACTATAGTCCTCCAACGGTCTGAGGGACAGTGAACTGGCCCCCTAATTTAAAAGTTTGAGGATCCCTGATCCAAATGGTTAACTCTGAACACTAGAAAAGGCAAGCATGCAGGAAGAACCCTGCTACCACTATCCACTATTTTCCCTAATGATATCTCTTGACACATACGGCTCTCATGGATAGTGAAAGACATAAGGGTTCCACCAAGATATTCCAGTTTCCTAACTGTAAAGCTTGCAACTTCCATCTAATCTCACAAACATAATTTGACATCACAAGTAGACCTTTCTGCTAGAAAAGAAGTCATTTATAATTTGTTCATCCTTGACGAATAAATCAGATGTCAACTCTCATTCAGTTTCACATGAATTTAGATAAGTGGATAAGTTTTCCTGGGTCTGATCACTTCTGTGTAGCTGACTAACCAGGTTCTAGAACAAAACACCATGAGTCCAGGTCTTTAAACAAATATAGATACAACCTATGCAATCACATCCAAACATCCTCTAATTACAAGTAAGTCAGATAGAATCATCTTAAATTTCAGTTTGCTACTGTTCACAGACAAGTGTCCTAGAAACATTTTACACTGTAAAAAGTGACTAAAATAATTGTCATTTACATGTGAAGTAAGAGACAGTATGGAAGGAAGATGGCCTGGTTGGGCACAATGGCAACAATCCCTGGTGTTTATTTAACAAATGCTACAGAAACTTGGTCCCATAAAAATGTCAGCTCAGGGCTAGGAAATACCAAACCTAGCCACTTGGGAGAGGGCAGCAAAAAAACAAGGACGCATCAGATATCCAAAACACGCCAACACAAATGACAATGAAGTCACATGCCTAGTGAGACCAGAGTGACAGGAGCCTCCAAACTGTACTCACCTGAAATCTGGTCATTTTAAATATACTTTAGTATTAAATGATAGTTCAGATAATATTCACAAAGATTTGGATCAAATTTTTGTCAAATATCCACATCTGGATTATAACAGACACTAAAGCAATTGAGGAAAAATTCTTGTCCCCAAGAAAGGACAACTCTGGGACAAACATAATAAAACATATCAAATAAAAATATAACTAAAGAGCAGCAAAACAAAAGACAGGAAGAGCTAGGCAGGCATGCTGGGGTGTGATATTATGAAATGCCATCTGCGGAGCTTGGGAAAGCATTAGAGCTTGATCTGCACTGGACGAGGGAGGGCAAAGGTTACCAGATTAGCCACTAGGCAAAAACATGCAGAGGAGAGAACACTGACAGAAGAAAGATGCTTGTTTGAATTGGAACCAGCACAATAAATAAATAAGGTCTCAAGAGCTATGAGGAGGTATGGTTAATCCAAAACTTCTAAAATAAATATTTATGTACATCAGTGAAAAGTATAATGTAAGCAACAAACACATTTCTTTTTTCATTCAAAGGTGACAGATGAATTGAATTTGATCTTCAATTTAGAATTTGATGTATCTTTATGTAAATATTTTTCTCAATAACTCAATTGTGATCTGTCTCCCTCTCCCTCCCTTCCATGACTAAACACAATGCTAGTCAACAGTAATGTATGTATTTGCCCAAATATAGACTCATAGGATAAAAAGTGGTAAGGAATACTCTGTTCCAGGTCAACTCCTATATTTAATTGAATAACAAAGTAGCACTACAAAGAACTAAGCTGTCAAGAGTCCCAGAGAAGTGAGAATGTTTATCCTGATGAATAGAAAACTAGCATTCTCACTGAAGAAAGAGGATGTTAAGTATTCAAATATTTAAAGGTCTACTTCTGGTACGTAAACTTATGCTGTAACATTTTAAAGGACAAAGCTACAAATAAGTGTAAGCAGAAGCCAGATTCCACCATCTAAAATATTTAAAATCATTTTAATATTATTTTTTAAAATTATTTAAAATATTATTAAAAATAATTTTTAATAAATATAGCTCACCACAGATTGGGCTCCTGGTGAGCCTATAATGGTTAAGAATACGGATTCCAGCCATGACTTATAGACTGAAGGGCCTTGGGCAAGTTCCTTAACAGCTCAGTGCCTCCCAACCTCATTGGGTTGATGTAAGGATGAAATGAGTTAACAGCCTGGCAGAATAGCTACATAAATGTTACATAAATGTCAGCTATGCTTGTTATGATCATTATTATTGATGTTATGAGGCAGTTCATTCTCCGTTGCAAGAAATATCCAACAAATGCCCAAAAAACTCACAATAGAAAGAACTCATACACTAAGCAGCAAATGAATATACACTAAATGACCCCTAATGGCTCTTCAAAATCCGAGACTTAGGATCCTCACACACTACTAAGACCTGCACTGGACGTCAGGTTTCCAGTTGTGTGCCAGTCAAGTAGTCCTTTCTCCTAAACTCCCTATACTTGACCCCTCCCACAACAATACCTCAGAAGTAAGCTTTTACTCAGCTATTTAAAAACAGAAAACTAAGAACTTATCTTTTAAAATCACTTTTGGGTTTGATTAAAAAGACTAGCTGTGGACAATGTTTATATTTATGCTTTGTAATTGACTACGGAGGCAAACATACCCGCAGTGTCACTGGTTGTAATATCAACTCCATGTATAAGGATGGCATTCAAACATTCGAGATTCCCCTTTGAGGCCACAACATGGAAGCTAAACAAAAAGAAAATATTTGTTATGCCATGGAAACTTCCAAAGATCAACTTAAATGTTATGTTAATGTCTCCTTTTATTCAACACATGAGTTTTAAAGGCTATATGAGGACACCCATATATTTAATACAAAAAAAACAAGCTATTCTATTTACATAAGGAGCCGATACGTTCTAGAAATACTTCCTTAGAACAAAGGAAATAGTCTAATGTGCAATTGCCTTAATAAGAGAAAATGTGTACTATAATATTATTAACTCTAGAGTTTATTATTTCAATAGCAAAAGCACTGGTGCTTGGAGTATAATGAATGCACTAAAAAACTTCTGTCAGATCATTTTATTTGGTTTCAAATATTCTGAAACTACCAAAACAAATGAAGTTACAGCAGAATGCTGAGGCCAAAGGCAAATTAAAACACTCATCCCTTCCCTTTACAATTATCAAACTAAACCTGACATAGAAAAGCCATCAGAACAAATTAAACTACCCTCAAAAGTCACAAAGTAATCGGTGCCTTCTGCTCCCCAGACAGTACCAACGACCACCATCTAATTTTTCCTTTTGCTCATGGACCTGTATGATTAGTTGAAGTTCTACACTAACAGGAATTACTAAGCAAGTTTCCTAATAAGGCAAGTCAAGCTGCCTAAAAAAACAAAATGCAACCATCAAGTATTCGAGATGCTAGTTAACAAAATATTTTATCATTTTCTTTGATCATATGATACTTTATTTAAATAAACATTTACAGAAATATTCTGTATGCAATAAGAACTGACATTGACTATACTCCACCAAATCCAACTGTTAGACACAGTAGAGTTGTTGGCAGAGGACGCTGAATTCAAGGATGTTCAAGGATGCTGAAATAGAGCTGGCCTTAAACCAGTACAAGTACCCATTCTGAAGATGGCAGGAAACAGGTTGGGAAAGTACTCAGAGGTAGATACCCATGAGAAGCATAACACGCCCTCAGGAGGGAGCTCCCCCGACCACACCACTTACACATATCATGTTTCCCCACTCTCCAGATCCCTAGTACTGCTAGTTCCTCCATCTTTGCCTTAGTTATTCCATATATAGAACCTAATAGCTTGTGATATAAAACTCATTATTTATTTTCTTTATAGTCTATCGATTTTTCCCACTCAACTGCAAACTCAACGAAAGCAGGGGTTTCTGTCTGTTTTGCTTCCTTTTAAATCCCCAGAACCAATAACAGTGCCTGACAGAGGGCAGACTCCCAAAGATTTGAATAACTAAATGCCTGGGGACAAAATCTGAGGATAGCTTGCAAATTCATTTCCAGATATGACAAGACTCAGTTTTGCAACTCTATTAGTATTATGACACAGATAGATGCAAACTATAGACCAAGCAATACTAAGTAAGGAAGATTTTGTGTACCATTTGAATTAGAGAGAAAGATGTTTTCCTTCTTATGCTGAATAATTAAATTGCTATAGGGTTGAGTATCTCATTTAATCTTTCTGCAATAGTGAAGTTGAGAAATACGTTACGCAATGCACCATTAGAACCTTTTGAGGAACGCCAATTTCCTTCAAGCAAAGGTCTTAGTCTCCCAACAATCTTGGAGAAACATTTTTTTGTTTGTTTGCTTGTTTCTATTTCTTAGCTCACAAAATTTGGAAGACCACTTTCTTCAAAATAGACCAACATTATAATAATTATGTATAAGTGGGCAGAAAGCATAACAGATCATCATCGCATGACTAATGCTGATGTGCTATAAACATTAGATGTGTTTCAGAAAAAAGAAGTATCGGTCATTAAAATGTATATGAAGAGTTACAAAGGGAATTGGAAAAACTGCTTTATGGAAATACTTCTTTGCAATCAAAAAATAAATTCTAAGTTTTCTTTAAAAAAAAAAAAATAAGACATGGGGAGATATGAGGATGAATGCTACCACTGAGGACCAGTAGGAAACTGCCTCCACTTGGAGGCATCAGTGCGCTCACAAGATGGCCAAACATCATGGGCCAGGACACCAGGAAGGACAGGTGCGGAGTGGAGCTCTGCATCCAGGGCCACTCTTCCCCAGCAGCGCTTGCTGATTCCAGAGAAAACAGCTGGGATGCTGAACAGCACTGTGACAGCCTTGAGAAAATGGAGAGACAGGAGCTGAGGCCCACAGCCCCCCAAGTCACAGCAGGGATCCTTGGCAAGCCTGCTCCATCCTGGGTTGAGACTTCAAGGGGATCTGCCCCAGGAGAGAGGGGAACAGGAAGAGAACAGATCCTTGCAGTGACTATGGCAAAGCTTAACATATTTCATTTTTGTAAACACACTGAGGTCAAGAAATACATGTTACTTTTGTCTTAAATTTCAAAATTAAAAATGAAAAATCATTTGAAATAAATTATGATTGTAATTACAAATAATATGGAAAATATATTTGTAACATGTCCTATACTTGACTAAATACAAAATGCTTTAATTAAAAACATAGTTTGTATGTGAGGGAAAAAAGGGAAAATGTTTTATCCTGAGTCCCAGAAAGAATTTTACTTCCTACAGTGAAAACATCAAAGACTCATACCATTCAAATATTTTACAAACTAAACTCCATGTTTCATCAAATGACACCAAATTTTATAACTCTATTATTAACACAAATAACATCATTCAAAACTGAACCTCAAAACTCCAAACAAAAACTCAAACACGGAGGGGGGGGGATTGGCAGTTGAGGGAAACTGCTGGGGGAGAGAGGGGCATACCTCATCAACAAGGGTACCTGCATAATCAATGTTTGTATACCTAACCCTGAATTGTACCCCACATCTTTAGAATTTAAAAAAAAAAAACCTCAAACACCCATTCACTCAAAACATAACAAAGTATGAATGGGCAGAACTGATGTGGGTTTCACTGAAGAGTTTCATCACCAAGAAGACTCCCTCATCTTTTAACATCTTAGTGTTTGGGAAAAAAAGAAACATGAAAAACAATGTCACTTATAGATATTAAATTTTTACCATTTATGCTGTGAGCCCTATAAATAGCTTTAAATTCAGCAAAATAGAAGCAAGATTCAAAATAACCAATGTTTCTGTAGCTACCAAATTGCTACTTGATAAAACTAGAATACTGTCAACTCAAAAACTTTTCAAACTTTATTGCTCTTAAAAACTACTTAATGTATAGCCACACTTTGCCTGCTTTTCTGTATTTAAATATCTAAGCACTCCAAGGTAGTGACTCACATCAAATATTAACTATTCACTTCCTAATATTTATTTCTATATTTAGAATCTGGTTTCCAGTTATAACATTCTGAATAAACTCATGCAAGTACAAGACTGAGAGGAGTTTTAGGAAATGAGACTCTTCACCTCTGACTTTGGAAGGGTTCCCAGATATGGTTTAGTTGCTATAATTATACTAGGTCATAACAGAACCGAGATGTACCCTTTAGCCCAGCTGCTCTCCACCCTCAACAGGAAGGGAAGCTATGAAAATTAAGGACAGATGAGGGAGAAGACATATGGTTCATAAGCACATGAACAAACCAGCAGTCCTCCTCAGTGACTAAGGGATGGGATCACTGCCTGTGTCTCCCTGAGCCACACTGGCTAGTCTGCCTCCTTTCTGCACTAAACATCCTCATTTAAACTATGACATTACTAAACTAAGAATAAAAATGGATTAGGGGCTGAGGGAAAAGACAGTATAATTAACAGAACTCTTCATACACAGAGAGCTTGGGTTCACATCTCAGCTCTGTGACTCTACATGAAATTAGACCAAGTTAATCAACCTCTGTCAACTTTTTCCCACTTCTTTTATAAGGCTGCTTCAAAGATCAAACATAATAAGAAATATGAAAAAGCTTATAAATGAAAATGCACCAAATAACCACAGGTTGGGGCTTGCCACAGGGCCTACACACCTAGACGAGTGGAGAGTATTCTAGCGTTTGCTCTCCTGCTCTTCTGGGAATCTTCTAAACTGAGAACAACCATTAGCTTGAGAGATTTTATAGTGCAGGCTTTGATAGTTTCTTAATAAGAAAATTGATAACTACCATTCACAAGTTTTACTCATATCTCAAGGCTCTACCCAAATTTCCCTCAGACACGCTTTCATCACCAGCATTACTCACGCAGATCTGCCTTCCACATCAAGTTTGCCTGGATTGACCCCCTTTTTAGCAAGGATGGACGATACTTTTTCGACATCCCCCCTTTCTGCGGCTTTCATCAATCGGTCATCATATTTATTCCAATCTGCAGCATGCTACAAAAAGAAAAAAAATACATGACATAATATTTAGCAAGATTTTCTAAAGAAGAAAGAAGAGAAAGTAGCACTGCATAATCCATCTCTTATTTCCCAGCTGCATCCCAAATGTCCTTCTCCCTGCCATGCTGATTTCACTAGAGGAGCAGAGTCATACAATTTTCCCACAACACGTGATATATTTTTAATTATACTCTCAAGTTGAAAAGCATGTTTCTCTTGTTTTCTACCCTGTTTACTTTGCCAGGGGAAATTAATAATTGCTGAACACCTACCCTGTGCCAGGCACGAAAGTCTCAAACAATCCTAGTAAGCTAAAATGATCACCAGCACTTAACAAATAAGAGAAGTCAAGGCCCAGGGACATGACTTTGATAGTTCTGAAATCCATGTGCTTTTCCTATTTCCCAGCTCACACTTTCAGATTTGGCTCTGGGTGCAGATCTCCCAGGATACTAGGATGCAGCAGAATTCTGTATACTTTTTAAAAAACCTACCCCCTCCACACACACACTTATTTAGAAAGTACTGCTGGAGATACATTTAGGGAGGTAAATTACATACATACATACACACATTCAATAGAGAAAGTGATTCATTATGCTGACAAATCAGTACAACATGAAACTTTTGCACAGCTAAAACTAAAAGAAAGACTCTATGAAGTATTAATTACTTAAAAATATTGAAATACTAAGATTAGAGGTAACATTCACTTTCTTCCTTTTATGTTCAACATGCATTGCTTTTGTATAAAAAATTAATTGTAATAAAAACTCCATGTACATATATTTAAAAAGATAAAGGTATTTTTTTTAAATAGGAGGATATAACACAAAATATACATTGTAATTGTATCAAGATTATCTTGAACTTTGATTTATAGAAAATATATTCAAGATTTTCTAAAGTCAATAACTCAGATCTTTTCTCAGTAAGCAGAAATGTCAGAACACAGAACTAAAATACATGTTATTTAAACAGGTAAGATTTCAGCCTTTAAAAATACTATACCAATTTTCTGCTAACTCCAGTTTTATTTCTAGAAAAAAAATCTGCATCTTTTTCACTTAACTTACAAAGCAAATCCTGTGCCCACAAATACCAGAACAAATCTCAGAGGAAAAAAAGAATCACTTGCATATCCTCAAAATTTTTTATCAATATGATTAGTTTATATCTTCTATCCCCCAAAGCAAAATTAAAAAAAAATCACCATCACCAGTTTTCTAGTTAAATAAGCAACCTAATAATTGAATACTTGAACCAAAAAATGAGTTTGAAAATTGAATCTGAAAAAAAAATTAAGTACATTAAATTTTAACTCACTTCTGAAATTTTATATTTTAATGGAACCTGGTTCATATACCTACCTATACAGACTTCAGAACTATTTCAAAATTAATTAAATGCAGTGATGCACCCACGTTCTCCAAACTACAAAAGCTCAAATTGCTAGCTATGGGTGTAGAGTAGCCCTACTTAGGAGCTCAAAATCTAAACTACATTTTAGGCATCACCTTTCTCTAGCTTTAAAACAAAACACACAGTTTATTGACTCTAATTTGAGGAGTGGTAGTAAATGTGAGTTTGGAGACACTGTGTTTTCGAATGCCTAAAGGATTAAGTCATGTTTAGCACACAAATGCTTGCTCTAGATTGATGAGTTTATCCTTACAATTAAAACAGTCTCAACTTGATTTCCAAATAAGCTTGCTGGCTGAGAAAGGAGCTATGTAAATCACTAAAAAGTTATAAAAATCCAAAAGTAAGGTATTTTAAAAGATAATTAAATTTGATTAAAGTCTCACATTAGCAGGATTTTCAGTTTCACACCAAGCGCCCTTTTCAGCTCTGGTCCAACGTCAGTTAACAGTAACATTGCTCAATTACTAAGATTCTATCATATACTTTTTGAACGCAGAAAAAGAAACAAGTACACTTGTTTTCTATTGCTGACTCCAATCTGCTCATCAACTAAATCAGGAAGACAAAAATAAAACAAAATAACCCCATTAATAAGACAGCAGTACATTTTGAAAGAACACAGCTCAGAAAACCTAGCCAAGAATCTTGTTCCCCTGGCCTGCTGGGATACCTACTCTGTTCTTAGAAGCACAAGTGAACCAACAGCTCATCATAGACAGGATTTAGTTTCTTGTTGCTAACGGCAAATTACTTTGCATTAAGTTACAAATCTCTGCAGCTCACAAGGCAAGCCTCAGAAAACACCAAGCCAGTGACTCAGCCCCTCACATGCTGTGCTACACTTAGCTTGGATCTCTAACGACACTTTCTTCGTCTTCGGAATCCTTCTCTGCCTTCATAACGCTTGGAAATTCTCTTCCTTGCTGCGCAGCACCTGCTGAAGAGCAGCCCAAAGTCAGGTACTATAACTCCTTCTAGTTCTTATTCTTTAGAAGCTGTCCTTCAAAGTTGTCCCTTTCAGGGTCCCCACTGGAAAACGTGAACAGCACTCTGCATCCTGCTGCCTCAACACTGCTACACAGACGCGGCGGTGCATTATAAAACTGTCCACATCCTAGTCGTCCAGTAAACAGCATAAGCAGCCTGTCTCCTATTGGTGGAGCCCTGTTTTACATTCCATAGAACTTGACAGCTGAGTGACAGAAAGAAGCAGCTAAGAATATAGTGCAAATGCATGCTTTTCCTCTGAGTAATAACTTTCAGGTCTACTGGGGAAAATGACTCAAACATATTGTAAAACATGCTTATTATATCAAAACAAGTTGTGTGACATAATGACAACATTTTAAGAGACAAATTTGGTTATTCCACAAAACAATATTTAAAACCAGTTTCAGTCTTAGGATCATCTAACATGAAACTATAATAGCCTTGACAAACAGAATATAAAATTCTATTTTAATCAAATGTGTCACACTTTAATTTAAGGAAACGCACACAGTAACACTTTCAAATCTTCTCCATTTTATTCCGTACCCCCATCAGTCTCATTCTGCATACAACCAGGTTTCAGCTTACAACTGCTGCCAGTATGTCTCCTAGCATGTTAGATGAGAAGAGCCAGGGGCAGTGCCAAAACACTAAAAAGGATCCATCACGGGTAGCACTTTTCAGCAAATTTTAAATTTGACTCAGGACTTTTAATTTCCAAGTTCAGTGCCCTGCCTAATATGACAAGTAAATATTTTATCAGTGGAAAGTTAAATTATCTGGATTTAGAGTATAAAAACACAGATAAACTAACTAAATACTAAAGGAGGTAAATATACATTAGACACTGAGCTAAGCTGTACATAAATCTCCACTGGGGACAAAGCAGACAATTTTCCACATTCTCTAAGACAGCTTACATGTTCCAATGTTCCTTGTGTTACCATGGATGGTATATCTACAAGTTTGGGTGGTTTTTTGTTGTTGTTGTTGTTGTTGTTGTTGTTGTTGTTTTTACCATGTTCTAATTACCACAACAGCATGAGAATAATTTAAACTCCCTCCAAAAAGGCACATTTGGGAAAATTGTTGTGTGGGACTGTAAAACATCCCACCCCAAGTCTTACGGGAGGAACACAGCTGCTATCCTATAGATCAAACTCTTCCATAAGCTACAGTAAGAAATTTGTGTCTTACTATTTAAATTTAAATTTAAAGCCGTATTCTAATTGTTAAATGTACAAGGTCCTACACCAAAGTGTATTATTTTTGAAACAATGATTGTTTTTTCCAAACCACATGAGATATCACAATGGATTCATCTGGCTGGACCCAGCGACTCCACCCAGTCCATTTTGCCCTTCTTCAGAGGAAATCTGGGACAGGATTCAGACCCTGTGCTCTGGTTAACAAAGCAAGCACATTCTTTCTACAAATAGTACAGCAAAGGCAAAGGAAATAAAAAAGGAAGGGGAAATCTGCAAAGAGCAACAGCTCCATAAGGAGCTGCCCATGCCCAGGAGATGGCAAGGCCTAGGCTCAGCCTCCCCAGCCTCGGGTCCTGATCTGCTCATCTCATGCCTCTTTCAAAGCTGTTTCTCAAGGGCCCTAACAAGACTCCTGCTTTTGCTGTCCCTGTACCCGTAAGGTTCTTCCCTCCCCTACATCCAGGTTCTTCTCCAATGTCTTGTCCTCAGAGAGGGCTTTGCAGACCCCTGCATCTAAACAGCCCCATCCCACTCTGCCCTGCCACTCTCTATCTCTGAATGCAATTTACTTTTCCACAGAGAGCTGCTTATCCATACCTGCTACCACACCAGATGTTTATCTGTTTATTAGCCTACTGCCTGTCTCCCAGGACCCCTCTGATTTGACTAGATAGCTAAGGTCTCTTTGATGTCTGGCTGATTTTTAAACAGCCAGATATTCACTAGTCACTAAATTCTATCCATGTTAAGGACCAGAATCCATACCTGCTTCATGAACCCTCTTTTTTCTTCGACTAAATTATTACATGAGTCAGATCTGGAACACACATTTACAAGCAAAACTGCTTCCCAGCAAACTGTCCACATTCAGACTACTAAGTATCTATTGATCTGAGATGATGGCAGGAAGACCATGGGTGGCTCAGTTGATTACAATGGAGTCAACATAGCCTACTTCTTAGTCAATACAAGATGCTCCTTGACTCTCCTGTATATCCATCCATACCTCAAGTCTTCCTTCACCATCCTACAAGTCCCACTGGACCCCGCAGGAACACTGTAAATAGTGGTTAAACATGATGTTTTGGACACAAGCAAAGCTGGAATCAGATTCCGGCTCTGCTACCTACCTGCTGTATACTGGTGGAAAATTTATTTATACTCCTAAGTCTTTGTTCCCTCAACTACAAAACAAGGATAACAATAGAGAACCTAGCTGTATAGAGTGGAATCACTAATGCACATGAAAGGTCTCAGCACTGTGCATGGCAGATGTTAATGCACAGAAATGGTAGGTATTAGTGACAGTTACAAGTGTTTCTGCTCCTGGTCAGAGATACTAACCAGAGGAAAATTCTTTTAAAAATTAACAAAGAGGTAAAAAAAAAAAAAATGCAAGTATTAACTCTGCCTTCCTATATATCAACGGTACCACAGGGATAGCTGATATGGCTAAGTGTATTTTTACACTTACGATTACAACCACGAGAAAAAAAATGATAGAATCAGAAGCACCATTTTGAAATTCTTACTCAATTAATGGGCCTAGGCAATTAATATCACAAAAAGAGAACCAGTCCTTAAGCACTTCCTGACGATCATATACACCACCACCTATGAAGTAGTCTAAGCAAAAACTTAAAAACAAAAATCTAACCAAACCTCTAGAACTAACAAATTATAAGAAATACAGGGGACAGCGGAACATAGTAAACTATATCTCAAGGACTGCAGCACAGGATCCAACCAGAAAGATCTATCACAGAGGAAACTATGGCTTCTTAAACAATATATGGCAAGATTTTTAAAAAGTGAAACTATAGATTAAAAGTGACTTCAGAAACGTATCAAACAATCACAAGGCATAGAACCTAAGCATCCTAACTAAACTGTTATTTTTTAAAATAAAACAATTGGGGAAATGTGACTACTGACTGGAGATTTGATGACTTCAAAAACTACAATAAATTAAGGGTTTTGGTGTTATAATGATATTACATTACTTCTTAAAATTCCTATGTTTTAAAAATATACACTGAAATATTTTCAGATACAATGATAAAAATGCCTGGTATCTGCTTAAAAAATAATCAAAACATGGTAGTCTCAGCTACTAGGGAGGCTGAGGAAGGAGGATTATCATTTGAGGCTGGGAATTCAAGACCACCTGGCCAACATAATGAAACCTCATCTATAAAATTTTTTTTAAAAATGTTTTTAAATTAATTAGGCAGCTGGGCTCGGTGGCTCGGCCTGTAATCCCGTGCTTTGAGAGGCCGAGGTGAGTGGATTGCCTGAGCCCGCGGGTTCAAGACCCGCCTGGGCAACTTGGCGAGACCTCATCTCTACAATAAATCAAAAATCAGCCGGGCGTAGTAGCACGTACCTGTAATTCCGGCTACTTGGAAGGCTGAGGTCGGAAGGATCGCCGGAGCCCAGTGGGTCGAGGCTGCGGTGGCCAGGAGCAGCCACTGCACTCCAGTCTGGGCATCGAAGTGAAACTCCAACTCAAAAAAAAATTAATTAGGCATGGTAGCACACACCTGTAGTCTCAGCTACTCAGAAAGCAAAGTGAGAGGACTACTTGAGCCCAGGAGTTCAAGGTTGTAGTGAGTTATGATTGTGCCACTGCTCTCCAACTTGGGTGACAGTGAGACTCCATTGCTAAAAACAACAACAAAATAATAATAATAATAATCAAGACTATTAGGGGCAAGCCTAATTCAACAGCACATTTAAAAGATTATACACCATGACCAAGTAGAATTTATTCCTGGAATGCAAGGATGGTTCAAGATATGAAAATAAACCAATGTAATAAACCATATTGACAGAATAAAGGGCAAAATAAAATCATGATTGTCTAAACTGATGTAGAAGCATTTGACAAAATTCAAAATCCTTTTATAATAAAAACACCCAAAAAACTGGAAACAGAAAAAAACTACAACCACATAATAAATACTATATATGAAAATCCTACTGCTAACATAACTGTAAAAGAATGAACGTTTTTCCTTTAAAATTACGCACAAGACAAGAAAATGGCCCACTCTTGCCATTTCTATTCGGCACAATATTAAAGGCCTATGCAGAGTAATTAGACAAGAAAAAGAAATAAATGACATGCAAACTGGAAAGGAATACGTAAAATGATCTGCTTTATTTGTAAAAAAAATTCTAAAGATTCCACAAAGAAAAAAACCATTCGAAATAATAAATTTAGCAAAAATACAGGAGACAAAAACAACACATTACATTTCTATACACTAACAAAGAACAATCCCAAAACAAAATTAAGAAAACAATTCCATTGGCAACAGCAACAAAAATAATAAAATACTTAGAAATAAACTTAATTAATTAGATGAAAGACCTGTAGACTAAAAATGATAAAACATTTCTGAAATGAAAAAACACACAAATAAATTGAAAGGCATTCTATGTTCATGGATTTGGAAAACTTATTATTGTTAAAATATCAATATCACCCAAAGCAATCTATAGACCAATGCAATCCTTACCAAAATCCCAATGGCATTTGTTTTTGCAGACATAAAAAAACTATGCTAAAATGCATATGGAATCTCAAGGGACACCAAACAGGGTAACATGATTGAAGAAGTTGCTGTTGGTTTCAAAACATATTTCAAAGGTTCAGTTAAAGACAGACATACAGACCAGTGGAATGGAAAAAAGAACCCAGAGATAATCTGTCACATTCATAGTCAAATGATCTTCAACAAGGTGCCAACACCACTCAATAGGAAAAGGACAGTTTGGGAAGACTAGATATCCATAGGCAAATGAATAAAGTTGGACTCTTATTTTACACTAAATACAAAAATGTATTCAACACAGATTAGAAACTTCAACATAAGACCCCAAACTATAAAACACC